TTTCTTCCTTTTGAACCTTATATTTTAACTTTGCCCATCTAGTTTTCTGTTGGTCTGTCTATGGTTATTGTCTCTGTTTCTCTATCATGTGTCAGGTGTCAGTCAGTGTAATGTATCAGTCTGTTTCTCTGTCTGTGTGTCTGTGTGTCTGACTGACTCTTTCTTTCTCCTTTAGTGGCATCTGTTTTTTTGTAAAATCATATTTTGGGCCACAGTTCACATGAAAATCACAATTACCAGTATCACTGAAATAATGAAGTCTGACATTAATTTATTTTAATTGTTGCTTGTAAAATGGTAATTTTTAATGCATTTCCTACATTAGATTTGATCGCACTCTGGGAGGTCATGCCATGGAAATGTTAATGAGAGATCATCTCATTAAACTGTTCAAGGTATATTGTTGTACTAAGTCTTGTATTGTGGTGTTTGGAAAACAGCATGTCAGTAAAGCAGTTGAAAGTACAAATTGAGATGAATGTTAAAGTTTTTACACTATCAAATTCTGCTTATTAGCTCTATCTGCTCAAGAAAAAGATAAATGGATTCTGTGGCTATTTTAGTTAAATTTTATTGACTGTGAAAGATGTATTTTAAAGCTGTACATTTTAGCTTGTATGGTTTTTTGTGTATATGTTTTTATGGACACTAAAATGAAAGCCAATGCAATGTTTTTAATATTTGTGTTTCTAAATGAACATGAAATCATTTTGTTAGCTATATTTTGTTATACTTCAAGGTCAATAACATATGTTTTCATTATAAAACTTAACAATGGTGAGAACTAGAAATATTGTTGGCTGCAAGTGTTATAATGTCAACAAGAGGCCAATCAGATGTGATGATAACTTAACTGTAATAAGCAGTTTTTAGTTTGGCTGCAGCTATGTTTTCATCACCTGTGTGCTCAGTTATGACACAACAAACAATGTAACAGTACAGTGGTTTTCACAAACTCTCCTCCTAGGAGGGTATTGCAACATTTTGCAGGGGCACTTTGGCTAGACTGCATTGAGCAGTTCACAATTTTTTAAAGTAGGTTTTTGCAAGTGCCCCCAATCTTGAAATCAAAGCCAGACCACAACATCAGGAGTTGCATTCCCTACTCAAAATATTTCAAGACTTTTATAGCCTTGTGAGTTTGGCAGTAACTTAATAACAAAAAAAGTAGTGTTATCTTGTTTGCTGTTGTGTTAAAAACCTTTTGGGTTTTTGTTATTCCAGGAGCAGCATAAGACACAGGGGGATGTGACCCAGTCCCCTCGTGCCATGGCAAAATTTCTTAAGGAGGCTGCAAGAGTGAAACAAGTTTTAAGTGCAAACACAGAGATCTTTGCACAGGTTGGTATGAGTTAATTTGCTAAACAACTATAATTATGGGTTGATTTGCTGACTTGTTGGTGGCAGCTGGTTTACTCACTGATTGACAGACTAACTTACTGACTGACTGTCATAACTGTCTGACTGACTAACTGAGTGTCTGATTGACCAACCTAGCTAGCTGACTGTTTGGCAGAAATACGTACAGACTTATTGGCTGGTTGGAATACACTGAAAGACTTCTTGTCTGACTGGCTGACTGACAGAGTGACAGGCATACCAACTAACTGACTGATATACTGTCCAAGTGTCTGAGACTGATTCGTACTATTTAGCTGATTAAATAACCGACTGAGAGACACACCAACTGTAAGGGTTGTTGTAGATTGTTTAGTGTTTCCAATCATTGGTGGGTTTGTCCTCAAAGACAGGGAGGCACATAGACAGACTAAAAAATAGATTGACAGACTGACAAATAGACCAACAGAGTGACAAATAGAGCAGCAGACAGACCAATAGAGTGACAGACAGGCCAATAGAGCAACAGACAGACCAATAGAGTGACAGACAGACCAATAGAGTGACAGACAGACCAATAGAGCAACAGACAGACCAATAGAGTGACAGACTGACAAATAGAGCAACAGACAGACCAATAGAGTGACAGACTGACAAATAGAGCAACAGACAGACCAATAGAGTGACAGACTGACAAATAGAGCAACAGAAAGACCAATAGAGCAACAGACTGACAAATAGAGTGACAGGCAGACCAATAGAGTGACAGACTGACAAATAGAGTGACAGGCAGACCAATAGAGTGACAGACTGACAAATAGAGTGACAGACATACCAATAGAGCCACAGACCGACAAATAGAGCAGCAGACAGTCAGACACATACAGAGAGACAGGCTGGTAAAAAGACAGAGAAACAGGCAGACGTACAGACTCAGATAAGCAGATAGACACACTAACAAACAGAACTAACACCACTTGGTCTTGAAAGATTGATTAAATGCTAAATCACAAGCTGTTATCATGCAAATACACTGCTAACTTTTTCTTGTAGATTGAGGGTGCGTTTGAGGAGAAGGATTTCCGTGCTAAGGTTACACGCGAGGAATTTGAAGAAATGTGCAGTGACTTACTGAAAAGAGTCTCGGGTCCAGTGGAGCAGGCTCTGAAATCTTCAGCCATTCCATTGGTGAGAGAAAATGCAATAGCAGTAGTTCTGTCATCTCTCTGTCGTGATATATTGAGGCCTTTTTGTGACCTCTTAAACTTTTCCTGTAATAAGCTGCATAGAGTTTCTTTGTTCGCGAAGGAACTGTGAATATTGTTTATCTTTGCAGGATGAAATTGAAAGTGTAATTCTCGTAGGAGGCGGAACCCGTGTACCAAAAGTGCAAGAACTACTTTTGAAAGCTGTTAAAAAGTAAGTTCTAGTTTACCATCTTCAACAGGTTCAATGAACTCTCATAGCAAGCTGGAGGCTATCCTGTCCTGATTTCTATGGCGTGAAGGTTACTGTTGCTACCCCTGGAAGGGGTACTTCTCTCTTAACCATGCTCATCAGATATCGACAATTCAGTCGATTGATATTTTTGTACTTTTTTTTATATCAGGTCAGAACTCGGAAAGAATGTGAACGCGGATGAGGCTGCTGCTTTAGGTAGAAAAATTACAGTTTTGGTTATTTGAAATTGTTGTTTGTGCTTTCTTAGTGCCGTTCCAACAAGAGGGAAAAAAATGGAGAGGATCCGTCTCAACCTTTTACCTCCGTAAGAGTGATAAGCAAGTAATTTCTTCCCAGGTTATCACCACTGAATAAAACTTTCGTGTCATGAGAATACTGAAAGGAAATAATTACTAACGAAAGAAGCTCTTGATTTTTTGACAACTTCTCCTCGTCAGTAACATGGGGAATGTAAAGGCCGCAGTAAGGAGAATATGTATATTGATGTAAGGGTGCAAAGGGTTATGGCTGAGTCACCAGCTGAAAATGTTTTGTTCCTGTGATTCTAACTTAGGTGGTCGGTTTTTTTTAATTTTTGTTGAAATTTTATCTCCCACAAATGCAGGCGCCGTTTATCAAGCTGCCAATCTTGGCAAGGGATTCAAAGTGAAGAAATTTCTTGTTAAGGAAGCTAACATCTACCCAGTACAGGTTTGTATGATGTTTGATATTACTGCAAATTCCGGCCCCTTTTTAAATCTCTTCTTTGAAAAAAGTTGTCATCTTACCGTTGTTTTGCTGTGGTAGTGGGAGTGGAATTAGAATTTAGTAACATTTAAAATCTGGGCATGTTGAAGGAGCAATGTCTCAATTTTTCTTGTTAAACTGAACCATGGGTGATAGATTTGGTTTTCTCTTCTGCTTGAAGGTGTCATTTGAACGTGCGAATAAGGCAGAGGATGGAAGCCAGACTGTTAAACACGTGAAACGTATGTTGTACCACAGAATGAATGTTTTGCCGCAGAAAAAAGTGATGACGTTTAACAGACACACGGACGATTTCAACTTCCACGCAAGCTATACTGATTTGGACTTCTTGAGTGAAGACGAACAGAGGTGATGATTTTTCTGCCACTGTTTTTATTTCGTTTTTCGTCATAGTCTCTATGTAACAGAGCTGAATAAATGCAGGAGAACCACAGTTGAGGTCTGACTAAGGCTAAATTTTAATTTGGGTGTCCTTATTCCTTTATTCAAATGCATTTTTGGGATAATGTCCTGTGTTCTTTTTAGAGCATCCAAGAGTCGTGTTATAGACAAAAAAAATTTGACTGAATTTTTCTTTTAAAACTACCAGATCTGAAATCAGATTTCCCACTAACTCTGGGTTATCCTAACCCAGCTTTGAACAACCCTGCCCTGGGTAGAGAGAGGCACTTAAGAATAAAGTGTTGTAAGTCAATGTAGAGTGATATGTGTTGCTAACAGTCTGAAGGATTTTCATCCTCCTTTATGACTACAAGAAAATTCCAAGTTTTGCAGCTCAAAGCGGTGTTTTGTTGATATTATAGCATGCTTGGATCAATGAATTTGACCACAGTGAGCGTCAAGGGGGTAGCGGCTGCGCTAGATAAGCATACACCGAAGGGGGAATCAAAAGGCATCAAGGCGTACTTTAGGATGGACGAAAGTGGAATTCTAAACCTGGAGAAGGTGTGTAAACGATAATTTAGTTGGTTAATCAACTAAGTTGATAATGTCAATTGGCCCGTGACCTTAGAGAGTTTTTCAAGCTGACGTTTCGAGACGTAGCCCTTCGCTAGCGCGATGTTGGCTCCTGTGCAAGTGAAGTAAGAAACTTAGAATCTTTGTAGTAAATTTTATTTAAACACAGAGACCTCAGATGCCAGGCACTAATTAGGGTTACTACGTTAGTAACATCGTAATCGTGATAATAAATAGAGAATATTACTTACTCCTAGTAAACAGATCATATTATTTTTTTAGTGAACTATCACGAGTGTTGGTTGGTCGCTCCGTCAGTCAGTCCAATAGAATCATGACTTAGCAATGTTTACAATTTAACTGCTGTGTTAAAAGTAATTGAATGGCAATCAATTCAAATCAAGTCTTCAATGTTTCTAAATTTATCATAGGTGGAGTCTGTGTTTGAAAAGCCTGAGGAGAAATCGGAAGAAGAACAGTCAACGTTTGCAAGTATGGTGTAGTACATTTCTATTGACAGCAACTTAGTCTTATTTCCTGAACACCTCGTGTGAATAAACCGTTACATAGCTCTTTAAGCTTACAGAAAGCGAGGAGCGAAATGGCTCCTTCTTGGCAAACACGTTGAAAGATAGTTGGACTGTTCCTATATGGTTTGTGTTTGAATTGTCGCTTTTATTTCGACAGAAATCGGAAGTAAAATTTCGAGCTTCTTTGGCAGCTCAGGGGAAGAGGAAAATAAAGAAAGTAAAGTTGAGGTAAGGGAGCTGTTGCTCAAAGTATCAATTATAAATTCATTTTAACTTTCTTTGTGAAAATGTCGCATAACTTTAGGGTACAGGACGATATTTGTACCCTCAGTTGCTTTAAACCTCAGTTGCTTTAAATTTTGAATTCTCATGACATGCCTACTCGCAAATACCTTAACAGTCCGGGAGAATTGACTTTTTGATCTAACTTGGCAAAGCGATTTAGTAATTGGCGTATCGACGCTGTTGCCCCGGTTGATTTTGGTCACGTGGCCATCACGTGGGCACGGGAGATGTGGAGGGAGAACGTGAGCAACTCGTGCGTTCGTTCTTGGGTGTTCTGGATCAATGTTTCAGCGATGGGAAACATGTTTATCAGTGTACTTTCAATTTTTTCAATGTAATTTCTGTTACCTCTTAAGGAAGGAGATAAATCCGAGGAAGCAGAAGGTGAGAAGACAGAGAAAGAGGAAACTGGAGAGGAAAAGGCAAAAACAAAGGAAGATGAGAAACCTGAAGAAAAAGCTGCAGAAAAAGACGAGGACAAAAAACAGGATGAGGGAAAGAATGAGGACAAACAGGAAGAACAAGGTAAAGAAGATGGAGAAAGAAAGAGTGATGAAAAGAAAGAAGAAGAGGAAGAAAAAGGAGAAAAGAACGGAGAGAAGAAAGAAGAATCCTCTGAAGCGAAAAAAGATGGCGACAAACAGGCACGTTTAAGTTTTTAAATGGTTTTTGAAGTTTTAAAAGTGCCATGAGGGTATGAGCCTCTAAGTTGTAGGCTACTTTCCAGAAAAGTCAACTTGTAATGGCATTTCTCAAGCAAAAATGACATCACCAACAAACCGAACAAGAAGACCTAATTTTTCCAAGGTATCAAAAAAGACTTTCAGCTATCATGTGCGGCAAGGTTTTATTGCGAAAATGTCACGAAAAACTGACCTTGTCACGCACCAAACGTCTGACGTCATTTTACTTACAAAACAACTTCTCTCTTCGATGTTAAGAAACACCTTATTCTACGGTTTAACACTTAATACGGGCGGATATTTTGCGATTTGCGTAGTAATAGAGCAATAAGCAAAATACCCAAAGGAGAACTTATTATTTCACTATCTTTTCAATTTCTAGTGTTTTAGCCTCAAGTTTTCGAAATACATCCTATCGATGTCATAAGGCGTGCGCGAAAGACGAAAATAACACAAACGAAACCGTTAAAAAAATCTTATGGCCAAAAAAAATCTGAAGCGCTTAAAAAGGTTTGTTGTTTTAAAAGCGAAGCCTTAAAAAGCGCGGGGGAAAACTCAAAATTTGGATCGTTCAGTGCGGCCATTTTGTTTCAATTTCCCCTATGGTAAAATGGCGTTACCCTCTACTATGGATTTAAAACCATTTCTTGTTCTTAAACGTTTTTTACAGGATGAGAAGGCCGGAAACAAAACTGAAGACGCCAAGAAAGAAAAATCCGACGCGAATAAGCCGAGCAAACCTGTGACTGTCCGTGAACCTCTTGAGATGGCATTACATTGGGTGGACGTCAGTGACACGAGCGATGACGCGCTATCTGCCTCTGTGAAAAAGTAATGTGACGAATTGTCTCGTAACGCAATCCGTAGCATTTTGAGTCCATGTCATGCACCATCACACCTTACCACAATCATCCTGCATGATGATTCCACCCCTTGCAATTTTAGGGAATTTCGTCGTTTCTCTCATGGAGCTTAGGGAATGTTATGTAATGCATTCATAGGCTCTAGCCGGCTGTTATTGTGAGTTATGTCACGCAATTTTTGGGAACCTTTTGCGGGGCCTTGTAACTTGGACTGTGTCACTCTCATTGTCATTGTCAGTCGCAATAGATATAGTATTACAGTTAATCTTAGTGAATATTATGGGTAACATATGATGATTAACGTATGAGAGATTGCCTAATGAAACAAATGCTAACAGAGACCGTCCTTTAGGTTAAAAGTTTTTTTTTTATTTTCCAAGAAATGGTTTTGCACAGTGCTCTGTTATAAAGTGTGACGTTTTTGAACTTAGAAATGTCTTTTTGCAAATGGATTTCCTTTGTTTCGATAGACTTAAAGACCTGCAAGCAAAGGACGAAGCAAAAGCCGCAAATGAGAGAGCGAAGAACTTGTTAGAGACACATATCTATGGCATGAGAGAAGAACTGTTTACTGATACAGGAGTACTACTGTCTACTGAAGAGGAGAGGGAAAAGATTGACCAGGCCCTTAGTGAGGCCTCTGACTGGCTGGACGATGAGGGCTGGGACTCAACTGCCGACGTAAGCAAACTTCAACGGTTGTGTTAACATAATTGGTGCCAGACCCCCAACAAACCACTCTCCAACTCGTCTCAAATCTTCCCGCAGGTGGAGCAGCGCTAATGATGTGGACCTGTTCCCCGGCTATATTTTGTCGAAAGTTTTTTCCCGCGGTTTTTTCTTGCGTTGAAATTGGTGTTGAGATTTTAGTGTGGAACAAAGATATTGCCTTCTCCATGTTTAGTTCGTCTGTTCTTTTAACCCCTTTGTTGGGTTTAATCAGGATTTAAGACAAGAACATGTCGCTCTCATTTGGAAGTCGAAGGGTCTAAAAACGTTATTCATGTTGTTTCATCAGGTGTACGAGGCCAAACTGCAAAAACTAAAGGATCAATCCCACGAGTTCAGAATCCGCCTAAAAGAGCACAAGGAAAGACCCAAGGCAGTAGAGATGCTGAAGAGCAGCTTGAACCTGTCCAAAACTTTCCTAGTCCAAATAGACAACATTACAGACAAAGATGAGATTTATACTGCAAAGGATTTGGAGGAACTCAGCAAATTGATTAATGATACAACGGTAAGATGGACTCTCGAATCAGCGAGCGCTTCAGGACTGTAGCACTTCTGTATGTGAGAAAATTTGTCGGTGTGAATGCATATACTATTAGTTCTTCTTAAACAAGCGCGAGGAATATTGGCCCGAGGTCGTGGCGGTACGGATCGAGCGCTGGGAGGTCCGCACTTCCACGACCTTGGGCTATTATTCCCCAGTACTGCTCGAGCAAACGAGTTTAGTGCGTAGTTTATTATATGGCACTGGGGCCAAATTTATTTGTTTAGAATTTTGCTGGCTTTCGTCAAAATACACGATTTATAACCGTTTCCGTGGAAATGGTCCGTACAACAAAGTATGGACCAAGTAAGAACTTACCAGAACGCTTGGATTTACCCTACCCCTCCTTGCCATTTAATAAATGACATTTAGGTCCTACAATGGGTAATCATTTACCACCCCTGTCAATTTTCCTCCTTGTAAAATGGCCGCTGCCGCAACGCAGTCTCTTTCCCCGTTCTGCATGCATGATAAGAAAAATAATTTTAACCCCCAATTTCAGCCCATCCTTCTTTCTTGATTTCATTAGGAATGGATGGAAAAGAACGAAAAGAAACAAAAGGAAGCAAAACCCAGCGATAAGCCAGTCTTCCTAGTAAAGGACATCGAAATTAAGCAAGGCAAAATCGACCGTGAGTTGGTTTATCTTTTAAACAAGGCCAAGTATTACGTGCCTAAGCCAAAGGTCAACGAAACAGGTATGAATCATGAGGTATTTACCCTTGTTTTACGTGACAATCGTGCGATTTTTACGCGCTAAAAGAACTAACATGAATTAGGATTGATAAGAATTGATAAGTTATATTCTTTTATAAATCATTTGTCTCTTTACTCAACTGTTTATTTTTTATTCGTGTGTTTATTTCATTTATCTAGTTGTGATCATTGTTTTGTTACAGACCGAAAGACCAGGAAAATAGTAACCTCAGCAAATACTCAAGGCAGGGGCTAGGGAAGTCTGTTTGCTTAGGTTCAGGGAGAGGAGGGAAGGTAGTTTAGCTGTGATGGAAAGGTATTCCTCTAAATGGGAGACGCCCTCCACGGTTAAGGGAGAGAACCGTTTTTTTTGTTGTACTTAAACAAATTTTGGATTTTTTTCTTTACTATTCAGCGTCAAACACGACAAAACCCAAAACGGATACTAAGAAAGAAAAACAAGAAAAAGGCAACAAAGCTGAAGGAGCGAGTGCAGATAAAAAAGAAGATGAAAAAGACAAGGACGAGAAAAAATCTAAAGATAATGCGAAGGAAGATGAAAAGAAAAAGGAGGAAAGTATGGGAAAACAAGAAAAACCTGACGAGTCAAATAAGAAACAGAGTGAACAAGATAAAAAAGAATCGGACGAGGCAGAGCCTCTGCCTCTCCCTGGCTCCGAGGCTGAGTCCTCGACATCTGGTGAGCCCGCGGACAGCTCTAGCTCATCAGAAGGAAATAATTCAAAACAAAATGCAGAGTCATCTGATAGCAGCTCTAACAAAAAACCTAGCGACGAATTATGATAGAATATTCTAAATGGCTTAAAAACTGATAGTTTGTAAAATATTTCGCAAGTTTTAATAATGTGGACGTATAACTTATTGAGAGATATTGCAGCGGTGTAATCAACTCTCTGCGTGGTGATTTCTCAAACTCAGCTCTGATTCACAGAGGTTTGCTGTCTTTCGTGCTTTGGAATGCATGAAATTGTTCTTCTGAAATAGAACTTGCACTAAGATGTTTGTCAAACTTTGCCAATACATTGTTTTTATTATAGGAACTTAAATTTTGAAATAAAACCGATTGGTTCCCTCACCCGTCTAGGAGCCTTAAGCTTTCGCAACACTTTCTCGTTATAAGCATTTCAATCCCAAGATCTTAAGAGAGATACTGGGAATTAGTCTATTTATTCTGCACTGACAGAAAGTTGTTGCGTGAACAAGTACGTGCGCACGTGATAATGGCCTATCGTAATTTTAACGACAGAATGACGATGTACCTCGTGGGACAGCTTCGGTCAGAGAAAAAAAGATACGCCAATTTTTTTCTCTCATGTCTGGACAGTTTTACATAAGATTTCACGTATTTATACAGATGCACTTCAAATCAAACCCCTAAGACTAGCCTAGTCGTTGTTGAGGCAAACTGCGTCCTAAACTAATGTCAGCATAGCCAAACGTTTTACCTACACATCGATTGTCATGAAAGCTTCAAGCAAATACCTATTATTTCAGCAATTAACTTAGTAATAAAGAGTCCACTGGACTGGTTTTGAAAACCACATTGCAGGTTAGTTGGTGACGTAAATTGGTCCCTGTTAAGAGTTTCAAAGCAGACGTTCCGACGTTAGCCCTTCGTCGGAGTTCTCCTTGGGGCGGACAGCACGGTTACTCGTAGGCTATTCACAGTTAAATGGTAACATCTAAGTACGAGATTACTGTAACCCATAATTTATACTCCTGAGTGGAGAGAGGCGCTCCGAGAAGAGCAATTTTCATCCAAGAATTGGAAATGTGTTGCATTGCTTTTGCTTTGCGTTGCTTTTATGTCCCCACGTCAATATCTCAATCTCGCGAATTAAGGGGTTTGCTTGTTTTTACTTTTTCTATTTATTTATTTATTTATTTATTTGCCACAAACTATTACAGATAGTGAATCAATGATCACAGAATGGTTACAATATTACATTAACTTACAAATTTGTCGATAACTAGAAAACGAGTTGAGTAATTAAGCGAAGAAACCCGCAGAAGCTAGGAGCTTATAAAAATTTGGGTTCCTCAGACGATACAGAGATGGAGCTTGAAAACCTTGAAAACTCTGAGTTCACATTGGCTCTTCAGGGTATTTTCCTTTCTTCTGATTGGCTGTTCTGATCACTTTGGTTTTGTTTTTACGATGCGCGATCGAAAAGTGCCGTTTAGGTGTCTACCGTAAGACAGAACTCAAGCCAGAACTCAAGCCCAGGCCTTTCGATCTGGATCTCAGCGCGCCAACCCCATGTAAGCTATTGGCTTTACAACTGTGGTCGGGGCAATAGCTTCCACGTAGTCCTTGGGGATACCTCCAAAGCGTCCAATTGATTTGCTCATTGATGCTATGCACTTTCACTGGAATCGTTTCTATAAGAAATCACCCTCTTGAATTTGCTTGTTAGAGTTGTCGGCGATCTATTGCAGTACGTCAACGAAGGCTTTTGAGCAATTGGATTTTGGTTTGTAATTGTCCCTCATTACGCATGCGTGATTGATTCGTCTTAGCTGGTTAATCTGACGTCAATTTTCATCTAAAATAATCTACTTTCCAATTTGCGTATCCTTTAGAGTTTAGCCTGAATTTTTCTGGGCAAGTCGTATATAATCCGCCTCAAGTTTTTTCATCCTTTTCCACCTTTGATCGGTCTTTGTTTTCCATTATCTTTGGAAATATTTCTCTGTCTTTTCAAATTTATGGCTTTTCATTTCCTTTTAACCAAACGATAGTTTGTAGCGCAAATTATAACCATACATGGTGACAATAATCAAGAGAAAAAACGTCCTATTATTTTCACTAACTCTAATCTACCAATGGCTTTTTTGGAGAGATGAAAGAAATCGAAAGAAAATAACGCTATGAAATTTTTCAAAATAGTAGGAGAAGGAAATTTATTTTAGCTACTCCTCCCTCCTTCCGTAGTGGAAATTTACACTCTTACTAACCTCTCCCCTCCTTGGTAAAAATTGTCCGATGCGCCAATAGAAAACTTTGAACAGTAGATCCTTTCGAGAGCTTAAGAAGCGAAGAAAGAATTTACATTTCAATCAGAGTTTCTGTCTTTATTCCCAATCACTGTACAGCTAAATTGTGGTAAATTTACTTTTTTCTAGCCTTTCCCTCGTATAATTATTTTTTTGTATATTCACTTTACAGATTTTAGTCAACGTCGTATTTTTTCCGTCGCTTACCTCTGCAATTAGGTTTTCTCCTTGATCAGATAATCAATTTCTCCTTAACCCATCTTTTTTTTTTCTTTCTTTAGCGAGGGTTTATGGCAGACCTGAAGTATGGATTTAAACGTTATTTATTTTGAATTGTCAGTATGGCAAGTGTCGAGAGTTCTACAACTTTAGAGACGATTCCTGAGATCCCCAAGAACTCAAACGACAATCGTGAAGCTTCTGCTGCAATCAACAACATTCAAAATGGCGGCCATGTTGTTTCTTCAGTAACCACAACTCCAACTCAACAAAATCCTATCACGCTACTTCTTCCCACTGTACCGGCCACGCAAGTTGGTAAGCGAATGATCTATCCTTAAAAAATGCAACTATCGTTAGAAATTACCATTATTTTCATTAGAAAGGCGCTTTTTCACTAAATTTTTAAGTATGGTTCATCGTAGAGCAAAGCAGCGCTTGCCTAGTTATCAATGCAAAGTGAAGGAAAACAGCTGACTCTGACGCGAAATCATCAAATAATGATAACGCTATATTTGTTCAGGAAACAGATTCTTGTCCTATTATTTAGGTAACTTCTAGTTTGAACTCAGCAGATGCTACGAATAATTTGGCTACCAAAATAGACTTTTGTCCAATGCTGTTTGAGTGTCTTTCATTTCAGTGGTAATGTTTACTTTTTAAATCCGCCGTTGGTTTGAGCATGTTTTCAAAATTTCCAGGAGTTTTTTTCGAAAGTTTCATAATCTGATTTCACTGGATCCATAAAATCAAAATAATTTTCCTCTGATCATTTACAGATGTTGAATTTACCCAAAAAAAAATTTATAAATGAGTAGAAATTTAAAATTCTTGTTGGTTGAAGTAATGTTGGTATGGGATTATGTGCATGTGGCTTAATGGGCCTAAAACAGAAAATTAGTTTTCTTTCTTCCACAAATTGATCAAGTAATTTGCAAGACTGGTCTATTTTAACAAAATTAAATGACAAATTTTTGTGGTGTAATATTTGTTATTATCATCTTGTGTACGACTGGGCAAGTTAGGTATTAAAAAATATCTCACAGTGTGTGAATCATTTGTTCATGTGCGACTGATTACTGAAAATTTGTCACATACTTTGAGTTTACAGTGGTCTATGCCTGCCCACAATATTAAGGGCAGAAAATATGAATACAAATTATTTTTATGTCAATGGATCTGTTTCTGCAGGTAGTGTGATCTTTCTGACATCTTGCATTGATTTGCCAATGAAATTTCTCCATTTTCATCATAATGTCCTTCCTTTTCTTCATTTTTATTGTACTTTTATATGCTTTAAGTAACAAATGTATGATTACGCACCTCACTTAAAATTGTTCCTTTTTGTAGTGACCACAGCAAATGGCATGGTTCAAAAAAACCTTGCTATCCTTCAGAATACAACTAAGCCAATACCCGCCAGTGTATTCTCCTACAGATTTGCTTCTCCGACAAGCAACCAGACTCCTTACTATGTGTCGTCAGATATAGTGCTGAGGTAGGGAATACCAATTGTAACAAGAATTTATTTGTTATACATTTAGTACCATACTAAAGCCTTTGTGGAGTGACGTGAAGGAAAAGATACTTCTAATGAACCTAGTGGCCCAATTCTACTAGCTTTTTTTCATTTTCCTATGGTATGAAGGGACTAGTAGTACTGTAAATCTTCCTGGAAGAAAAGCCTGTGTAGTGTGGGTTACGTTCCCTGCAATCTATCAAGTTTCCTAGTTAGCTGTTATCAGTACCAGTTTACACTCCTGGGCCCAATCATTCAAAGGGAAGATAACGTTATTCAGTGGACAATCAATAACAAAATGCACTGCACTATCTGTTGGATAGAAATTTATCCAGTGCACAGTGTTATTCGTCCTTAGAACAACTGTGTCGTGGTACAGTAAGTTTAAAGTTTATTGACCAAGACTACAACAGAGTGCCACAGATAGGCCTTAAACCTGGCCTTCTCAACTAGGGGTCTAAATTTGATTGTAAAGTATGATCTTTCTGTTGAGGGTATTAATGAGAAGAACTGTTTAACAATCCTGGCAGAGGTCTTCATCAGAGTCTAATGAAGACTTTTTGTCAGTGCAGTGTGATATTTCTGGTTTGTATGTTCTGATTGGTCAGTGTTGCTGTGGTGCTATTGGCTGTGAAACCAAAGTGGTGCAAGACAGTCTAATCATTACCAAAAACTGTCCATCTCATTTCTAGCAGTACCTTCACTGAGGGGATTAGACTACACAATCAAATTTTACCCTTGGGTTAAAACTATCTACTGCATGTAGCTTAGAACCAACTTGGAGTTATATTTTAAGGTGCTATATTCATTTTAAACCAGCTATTTTGAAATAACAGACTGATTTTTCTTAAGTGATGAAGAAACACCCTATGAAGTTTAGTTTTTTTCGTTCCCAAACATGTCGTTTTGAGTTAAAAATCTTACTGATTGTCTTTAATTTGAATCATTTTATAAAGTGGGGGCATCGCCCAGCAGACCAGGAGAAGGATTGTGCACAATGAAGGTAAAATTAAGTTTCACTTTACAGGAAGAATTGCACTGTAGACATATTAGCTCCTCTTTCCAATTCATTTTTTAACATATTTTATTAGTAAGTCTAACACATAAAAATGTTATACATGGACTCACAAGAAATTTTGTAATGAGAAATTCAAGCTCTAGAATACTCCTTTCTGCATCAATTCAAGACATTCAAGTGAACTTCTTTAAGTGCCACATGACAGGGCTCGAAGTTAACTTTTTGGTCGACTAGCAAAGTTTTGCTGGTAAGATTTTTTTCCACTAGCAAACTGGTGAGACCACTAGCAAATTATTTCCTTTTGAAATGTCAATGACCATATCTGATAAAAAGATTAGAATTGATATTTTGCACAGGCTATTAATGAGCTGAAAAGTTTTATAAAAAAAGTGGTAAATGTTTGGTCTCCTTTGTCGTTGTCCTGACAACCACCACCTCTCTACTGCATGTTTGGGAGACATGGATGATTCTAACTAACAAACGTTTGCTAGTGGAAATTTTTCTCACTCGCAGATTAACAAAATCACTCGCATTTTGCCAGTTTGCAAGCTTTAATTTCAAGCCCTGCATGAGTTTTCCTTTCACTATGAAAGAACCATTTTTGCTGTGCTCTGCCAACTTCTTCTTATAATGTTCATGCATTATCCAGCATAGGTAATGAGAATACTAAAAAAATGAGTTAGAAGTTGTTATCTTGATCTAACACCAAATTCTTGTTATTAATTTACAAGGAAATGTTCAAAAGCTAATAGGGAATTAACAATCAGATCTTTGGAGTAAAAAGGGTCAAGTTCTGTACATAAATGAACTTAGTTGGTACATTGCTTCTGGTTTATTTTCAGTGGAACGAAGGCGGAAAGGCAAAATAAATAACTGGATACTGAGGCTTGCAAGTGTTGTACCACAGTGCAGCTGGGGAAAGCAGGTATAAAAAAAACCAAATGAACTGAATTTGAGGAGGTCTCCAACTCAAGCATGTCAAACAGATTTCTGAAAGAAAATTACAGGCTGCAGGGGTTTTTTAAGGGCTGGGCTACAGGCAAATTGACCAGCTGTGAAGATGACTTTTCCCAGCAACGTGAGCTTTCAAAATCTTTCTGAAGAATTTAATTTCTACATTTTTCTTTTCTAAGAAAGTGACTACCTAGGGGGAGTAAGCATCTTTGAGCTTTCTGTACAACATGTGTGGGTGCAAATCCAAATGCCTGCCCTGCTCCCAACCGCAATGAAATCCTTGAATCTTCAAGAACTTTACCTGTTCCCTGCCACCATGTCCTTCATTGAGCCCAATTAATGCCACACTTATCTAATTTAAACAAAGCTCATTGCCGCCGTGTTATTTGGAATGATCCATATCATTTCTTTGAGGGCAGAAAATGCTTGCATCTTCACTTTGTATTGATTACTTTAAATAAATTAGCCTTCTTTTTTCCAGAGCAAAAACATTGTGCTCGAAAAGACAGTTGACTACATCAACGATGTCAAAACCCAACTGAAGGAGTTAAATGATTTGCAACAAAGAGAACAGAAACTTGGTAAGAAAGTTTCAATCTTCCCCTTTTTGGGAACTTTTGTGATATTACTCTGAACCATTTTATCAGGACTTTCTGATAGGTTCCTTAACGTGGGAAAAAACATTCCAAACCTCTTTTCCTTCATACGTGTATTTCATATTCAGTTTGTTTGCTTTCGATTGAGTGTTGAAAATCAAAACCTGAAGATATCAAAATGGCCAATCAGAACATAAGAAATACTGCAAGGAGCCAATCAGAATGAAAGTTAAAACGAGCACCTTGCTTGAAGCGCGGGAAAACGCGAAAGACCAAGTTGCAACTGTTTCGCTACTGATTGGTCAAGAGGTTGGTGTGTGTTTTCTAGACCAATCACAGAAAAACATAATGCAAAACCAATGCAATGCGTAACATTTTGGACACTTAATTGACAATTTCTTCATATTTATTTTCTGAAAATATTCCTTGTGAGATGTATGGTATGTAGAAGATGTGATAGCTTTGTGATTAGCGTGCTGCACTCCGGGGGCAAGCCCCTGGCCAGGTTTTTGTGTTGTGATTTTGGGCAAGGCACTCTACTCCTGCAGTGCTTCTCTCCATATTGGAGTAGTAATGGGTTCGAGCGAACTGCAAGGGATTCCTGACAAAATGCGAAGGAAGGGGGGTGGGGGTGGGTAACCTGCGATTTCCTTGCACTCCATCAAGGAAGAGTGGCTGCGCAATTTCGAGTCGCTTCTTGGTACAGTTTTGGTTCTACGCATGTCTACTCCTTACAAGAGGAGAGAAAGAGTCCTTTGTACTTACATGATGTTTTCTGCTCCTTTTAATGAAATTCAGCTCAAGAAAATGAACTCCTAAAAACCAGACTTGGAACGGTGACCAAGGAAAACAAACAGCTACGAGATTTGTTAAAGAAAAATGATATAGTGCTTCCTGGAAATTTTCCATCAACACCAAACGCCCTATCAGCGTCAGAAGCGGTCACATCAGGTACAGCTGATACCCCTGTGACTGTGTCCGCAGAGGCGCCAAACATAGCAGAACTGTCCACCATGGCTGCATCCAATCCATTACATGTATCAGCTCAGACAGTGACTAACTATGTAGTTCCTTCTGTTTCCACGACTACAGCAGCTGTCATGAACCAGCTTCCAATAACCTCAATTGCTATTTCATGTCCGGCGAGAGAGCAATCGAGGAGAGAATCGGTGGCGTGTTTAGTGCCGTTTACCATGACAACGAACCCAATATCTTTAACAACAACAACAACGTCTGTCGTTTCCCCAATTTTGTCAACCTCTGTGGTACAAGCCTCAGCGATGTCTGTAAATGCGCAGATCAGTGGACACAACCATTATCAGCCGCTGTTAGGCCAAGTTACAACAACAAGTGTTTGCCAGCACAGTCCAAGCATTCCCACTCAACCTGCGCTGAACCACGTACAAGGAAATCTAAGTAGTTTACCGAATCCAAATCCCATTTCAAATGCCCCAGTTACGCAATTTACCACTAACTTAGGTTATCCTTTAACTCAGCAAGCTTTGCAAACTGTAAGCACTTCCTCACAAGTTTTTCAACCCCAAGCAGGATACTCCCAGCACAGTGTAGCTGCCATTATGAAAGTTGCCCTTCAGCCGGGGACATCCGTATCTCCCATTAGTGTGGTGAACGCCGTTCCTCTCGTTGCTACATCCTCAGGACACAACACCAGTGCCATCTTAAATCTTCCTCCCGCTGTGATCAACTCAACCACTGCCGTTCCAAGCGCGATTGTGGTGCCTTCGTCGGTACCCATGACTCTTCCAGTGTCCAACAACCTCGCGACTGCGCACTCTGGAGTCGTCAATACTGTTGAGTCACAGACAAGCAGCTTACCAACAATTTATGTCACTGCTGCTCCGCGCCAGACTGCAGCTGTCGCTAAGGTGAACAGTAAAGGAAATTCGTCACGGCTTAAAACGTCAAATGATACAAGTAAGGGGCAAACAGGAAATAAGACAAAAAAATCAGGGCCTGCGAACAAGAATCCCAAAAAATCTACCTCTTCAAGTCGAACTCAAAACGCAAAGAGAAATTCTCAAATCAAAGCCCCGTCTAATGGCGGCAAAACTGGTTCGTTTACAAATAAACGTGCAACTGAACATTTGACTGATTCAAGTGAGGCTCCCGTAGCAAAGAGAAACAACGCTTGTGGCTCTCAAGAGTCTCAGGGAAATATAAGTATTTGTCAACCCCAGCAAGAAATTATGACAATACACACTTTCAACGTGAATGCTTTAATACCAGGAATAGCGTCTCAAGCGTCTGTCCCGACTAGCACTATTGCTACAGTTGTTCCTAATAGGACAGACTGCGGTGGAATCGGTAAAACTACTAATCAGGTCTCTAGTTTGGGAATGAGTCAGAGTGTTCAGGTACCTCGTTTGTCGCACAGTATTGCCTCTTTAGCAGGGTTACCCAGGAGCATGGGGCTTTCACAAACCTCTTCAGACCTTCAACAGCATCAACACGTTCCCCAGCTTGGGTCTGCTGGCAGCCTAAGCTTCTCAGCCGAGTCGCTACTTGCTTCAAGTGAAGTCGTCTTGCCAAACATTCCTCACATAACAACCACTTCTGTCAATTCTGAAAATAACCCTAGCCATCCTAGTGGTTTAAACATGGCAATGTCATCATCGATGCACAGCACACCCAGTGATCAAAACCACACCCAAGGGTTTTCAAATTACTCTGCAGAGACGCTTATTGGCGGGAATGACCTGATGAGTGACTCGGTCATGTCACAGGAATCTCAACTTCATACTCGACCGTCCAGGACAACCTATTCAGACTTCTCCGCCGAATCTTTGATTGGCTCCAGCGATTTAAACTCGGGGCTGTCTTACGCAATAGACAATCTCATTTCTTCACGCTCGGATGCGAATTACAACAGCACCGCTATGGTGTCTGTGAACCCAAACTTGCTTCATTCTGTGAAGGCAAATGTCGGCCAAGAAACCGGTGCGAATCATTTACGAACGATGGCGAACATCGCGGATCTTGGCGAACAGAAAACAACATTGTGTAGTAGTCAACCAACGGTAATGTACAACAATCCGTTGCCAAACAGCACATACGGAATAGCAGCGACAAATTCCTCACCTCAGTTTACGTATGTACATAATAGCTCTCAGAGAAGATCTACAGACAGCGTAACGCCACAACATCAAACTGTTAATGTGACAAACAATGTCTCCGTCGCGCCATCCACTAGTTTTTTAAAACATTCCGTGGACAGTATCACATCTTCATTATATGCGGTTAGTAACGCGGGCTCAAGTTTCTCCGTGGGGTCAAATACGGTTTCTGGAAACTCGTTTCCAGGATCCGGCTCGTTCGGAGTGGAGTCTCTCACAGGAAACCAGCTTTCTTTTGGTTCGTTGCCAAACCCTTTTTCACCGACAAGACCTTTTTTCAATCATAGCTCTACTATGGGAAGTTTCGTGTGACTTATTGTGTTCTTCGAATTTTCTTCTCAAAGGCGGACCATGTCCTATGGGCTCGTACTGCATTACCATGTGACATGACAACTCAATCACGCGTCACATATAACTCAAGAGTTGTGTGACAAATCACGTCCTCGCATTTGAGTTGTCACGCTGTAGCTACAGAGCTTTGCATAACATGAAAGCCTTGCGTTTCAGAAGCAAGATAACAACGTTTTCGTTAAGGTGACCTTTGAATTTCTTGGCCATAAATGAGTTTTTCTCCGCTCATAAAGTATTTATTTACTGAATTTATGAAAGAATCCTAATTGTTTGCTAGAAATTTCTGCTTAAACAACCAGTCACTGCCTCACTTATTTTGCGTAGCGAATTACAGTAACAGGGATCTTTTTTTTTCAAGTTTGTGATCAACTATTCAAATTATTTCTTGAAGGAGTGGTATCTTTTTTATACAGGGGTACTATCGTTGATTTAATTTCTCAAAAGAACACACAGTACGGGATTGATTAAGGTAGGATACATAGATTTGGTTTAGCTGAATCTGTGAATCCTGAAACTTTTATCCATCAAATCTAAACGACGGAGCTTTCTATTATAAATGTCCTAAGCTTCGGATAAAAATGCAGAAAAGATTTGCCGGGATCTTTTTGTCGTTACTTTTTCCTAAAGAATGTAATTATCGTGTTTTTAGAGCATTAGGATGATATATATCGGAAATATCATTCTTTGGTTTAGTTGACTAAAATATTAAGACCAGTTTTCGTGTAAAGCGAAAGGGCATTTTTTAACCAGCAAATTTCACATTATTTAACTATAGAGTAAACGAACGGATTTAGTTCTCTATGAAATACCTCATATTAATATATTTTTAAAGAATGCTTTTCGATTGAATGTCACTAAAACGAAACCAAAGGAATCTCAACAACCAATCAAAGTAAGGAAAATATCACGAATAGCCAATGAGAGCTTGGGGTAAAAACAAGCAAACTGCTCGAAGCGCGGGAAAATGCGAGTGACCAAGTCGCGATTGGGTTCAGTTTTGAATCTGATTTGTTGGGAAAGCGGTACCAGTATTTTTAGACCAATCACATCATGAAATAAAGCAGAGACAAAAAAGCCCGGATTACTTTCGACATCCAATTGAAAATTGCTCTAATGCTATTTCTGTGTAGAAGGTGATGTGGATTTGTAAATAGTGTTGATTCTACTCGATGCTTGATCAGTTAAATATTTTCAGAGCTTTAAGCTTGTAGATTTTAAGTAACTCTATGCACTTGTTAAAATTGAAGTGGGTGAGCTGGTTAAAATTATTGTAGATATAAATTATTCTGGTGCTACAAGTCTCAGACGGATGATTAAAACGCATATTTTGTGAAATAACATCGTGCCTCTCAATCTTTGATTTCAAAGGGAAGATGGTGTTTGGTTAAGTAATGATGATTGTAGTGGATGAGCTAAACGGGAAAAAATGGGCCCGGGGGACTTCATAACCGAGAGCAAATATTTTCCCGTCCGACCCGATCTTAATCAGTCTATAGGCGTTTTATAATATGGTTTTTGCTCTTTCTCGTTCTTCTTTTCTTAGTTCAGCTCACATCTCGCAAGGCCGCACGCCAAATTATCGTACTTTATTGACAAGGAGACGTGTAACAGCGAGAGAGGAGAAAAAACAATCAGATTGCGCGCGGCTGTATCACATTCATTTGGCTCGTTCGGATACATTTTAAAAATGCAACTTTATTATTACGGTTGGACTTTCCGTCAACAACGATTCGCATGAATTGGCCCCTCGGAAACAGGACTACCCGCTTTTAAAGTAGTTAGAGCTACAAACGCCGAATTGGCGTTTCATCTTGGACGGAAAACATTTCGTACTTTTTTTACGTTTCGGTGGTATGATTAGACATGGCCTACATTGTACATGCCTTTGGGCCAAGAGAATATAAGTTTATATTCTCTTGCCTTGGGTGCCTTCAAATGATTCTGCCATCGGTCTTTCCTGAGTTATGAACGGAAATCATTGATTCGTTTTCTGGTGTGGAAGGAAACTGTTTTGTTTCAAAAGGGAGAGCGCTCTCCAAAGTTCCCTGACACAGACTGGAGTTAAGCTAGTGTGAGCTTTATTTAACACTGTTAACACTGAACAAATGAACGTAACTGCCGGGATACAATATCATTTCACCACTAATTGTTCTTTGTTTAGAAGAAAAGAATCTAGCGTTGCTACGTTTATCAAAACAACAACAAAGAAGACCTGTCTTTTCATCCAAGACAAGTGTATCTGAGAATGATTAAAGGCGCTGACTCATGGTAGATTGACGCAAGTTTAAGAATGTCGGTATAATATAGGTACCAAATTGTTTGGTTAGTTTCCCGTAGTTTCACATTTGAAAGCAATTACCGTGAAGTCAACATACTGGTAAGTACGAATACGAAAATGCTTTTGTAAGTCTTGCTTGACTTATGAACCATTCACACCAAAGCTTAAACATGTTTAAAGCTGTTTTGTTAAACACGGTGTAAAATTATTTTCTTTCATAGAAGCTGCTTAAACCAATGTTTGTCGACCTGAAATTTAGCATATTTAAAATACAAGTCAGTGATTATATGAATTCTAAGAAAAACTCAGCTTTTCAGTTCTCAGTGTCTGATTTTCATCTAGATACACCTGGTTTAACTGAACATATTTTTTACTGGTTTGAATGGGGTATTACTTTGCCATGAAGGCGAATTTTAGTGATATTATGCCGGTGAGTAAAGTTCTTACAGCAAGGCCTGACTGCTATTTGGTAAACTTTTGTCTCGAGTCCTTCTGGCCTCTGCCTTTTTGTACCAACATCGTAAAAGTCATTTTAAGACCACTTGTACGAAGCCTTTTCCGTCACACGTCCTATGATGTCCCTCAACATCAAATACAAGAGTTGTTGTAATACTACCATATTGTGGTGTATTGAACTTAAACAATCTTTTCGATGCTGCCGTTTGACAGGAGGTCGCGAAACTGTTCCGAGCTTCATAAGTAGTGTTCATTCCTTATAACTCATCTTCTTTGGCTGGTGAAGTCTTTTTAAAGATTTCAGTCCAGTCCAAGTTTCTGAGGAAAACGGATTTTTTATTTATTAGGGGTAATTCTAAGCGCGCTAAAAAAGCTCAATATCGCAGTAGTTTAGCTGCACTGTGATGTTTCTAATATTGCAACCTGCTTGCAGTAATATTTCTGATGTTGCAACCTGCTTGAGACAATATTTTTTATATTGCAGTGGGCTCGCTATTAATTGCTTGGTACTGTTTCTTGCTGAGTGATTTGTGAAAATTCTTGGATGCCATTGTGTATTATTGATCTGAACTCGGAAAGGTTTTTAGAGTAAATTAACAGACCGCATGCAAAGTATCATTCAGGGAGACGGATAGAAGCAAATGTTTTTGAATTGTGATGAGTGCACACCTCACAATGACAATATTTCTTAATTTTTTGAAAAAAAAAATCTTGGCACGTATTTCTCCGCCCATTTTCGACGACTTGCGTCAGATATACCCAACTTCCTTCTTATCTTTAATCGCACCCAAATTACGCAATTGCTTTCTAAATCTGTTTTCTCCCGAAGAAGGGAAAATGCAAAGAAAACTATTCTTAGTCGTTCAAAAATGAGAGAAAACGAAAAAAGCCAGAAGGTTTAATAAACTTCAACAAAAGCAGCATTCTCCGACCTCTAGGGATAGGGCAATGGAAAGAGATTTCAAATTTTTACCTCTACTTTACATTACATGCTAATTTAATTGTTGGTACACCAAAACGTTGATGTCATGCAGAAAGAAAACAACATAATTTTTATAATAGATAATTACTTCGACTCAAGTATCATTGGAGAGAACGCTATGACTGTGAGCCTCAGTGATCATCCAGTAAACATTCACGGCAAATTAACCTAATGTATGTAAGTTACATGCGGGTTCAGGGTTCCCTGCTGAGGGAACTGCCCTTTTTTATCGCCTGGGGGGAGGGGTGGAGGATTTTTGGGATCACATGGTTTTCAGAGGAAACGGAAGGGGGTGAGTCGTTGCCAGCAGAATATAAAGAGGGAGATGTGGAAAATTGACTGCCAATTATCTGCCAATGACAGGGAAATCAAAAGAATATTACAGAGCCTTATGGGGATTGGGAAATTTTGTCGTCACAAGATCAAAATCCCCCAAACCAACCCCATCTCACCGCCAAGTGATGAATAAAGACAGGTCCTAAGGAAGAGCTGTGATTGTCATTTTCGTTGAATTTTCTGCGCGATCGGAGGCAGTCGGGAAACTAACCAAAGTATAAAACAATTTCAACGTCAAGCGTCAAGCTCTTCACCAACGTTGGACCCAAAATAGAAAAGTTTAAAGGAGATGTGTACCCGTGAAGCCATATTAACGTCCATCCGCCATTACGAAATAAATATGTGCAATTGATGTATACCATATAGAAAAATAACGGTTTCGCGTGCGCTGATTGGCTAGTTCATTCTCTGAATGAGTACTGAGTAGTAAGATAATAATCCCAAAACTGCCTGGTATCTCTTGTGCAACCGATAATGTCTGTCACCAACTTTGAAATCAGTCGCTAATTCCTTTAACCCATTATTTGGTTTAAGTTACAGTTTTTCTGCCAGATCGCAGCCAACAGTAAACCTCAAAGGAAGTCGCCATACCTGTTACCAGAAAAAACATTATCATGATCTGCGCGTGCTGTTTGACCTCCGAAGATTCTTCGGAAGACCCGTATACCGAGACAGCACCCGCCACTAGTATTGAAATTAACGAGAGAACCAAGGAAGCATCAGAATATGAAGAGTTAGCGATGGTGTTCTGCTCTCGTGGTGAAACCGCTGAAGCTAGAGAATATTTCGAAAAAGCTCTTGCGATCAAAATTGAAATCGGCGACTCAGAAAGTACAGCTATGTACTACGTAAATTTAGGAACTGTGTGCAGGTTCATTGGAGAATACGCCGAGGCTAAAGAATATTACGAAAAAGCTCTTTCCATCGCAACTGAAATTGGCGACAAAGAAGTAGAAGCATTATGTTATCGAAACTTGGGAACTGTGTGCTTTTTCCTTCGTAAATGTGTCGAGGCTAAAGAACACACTGAAAAAGCGCTTGCGATTAGAATTGAAATTGGCGATAGATCGGGTGAATCAGCAGATTACGCAAACTTAGGAATGATCCATAAGTCGCTTGAAGAATATGTCAGAGCTAAAGTATGTCTCCAAAAAGCACTTGAAATCAAAATTGAAATTGGCGACCGGAAAGGAGAAGCAACAGATTGCGGAAATCTTGGTACTGTGTTCAGCTCACTTGGCGACCAAGTCAAAGCTCAGGAGTACTTTCAGAAAGCACTCGCCATTGTGATTGAAGTTGGCGACGAATCAGGAGAAGCAACAGTTTGCGAAAACTTAAGTGCGGTGTTATGTTTGCTCAGTGAATACGCCAAGGCGAAGAAATATCAAGAAAAAGCACTTGGGATCAGAATCAAAATCGGCGACAGAGACGGTGAAGCGAGGAATTACGGAACCCTTGGAATTGTATGTAGGTCGCTTGGTGAACTCACAAAGGCTAAAGATTATCTCGTAAAAGCAATTGCCATCAGGATTGAAACTGGCGATAGGAAAGGAGAAGCAACAGATTACGCAAACTTAGCAACGGTGGCTTGGTCGCTCGGCGAATACGATAAAGCTAAAGAAAACATCGAACAAGCACTTGTGATCAGTACTGAAATCGGCGACAGAGAAGGAGAGTCATCATATTACTTATTCTTAGGAACTGCATGTCGGTCGCGCGGTGAATACATCAGCGCTAAAGAATTTTTTGAGAAAGGGCTTGCCCTAAGCAGGGAAATTGGAGACAAAAAAGGAGAAGCAACAAATAGTGGAAACTTAGGAGGTGTATTTTTTTGGTTAGGTGAATACGTCAAGGCTAAAGAATATCTAGAAAAATCCCTAGTGATCAGAATTGAAACTGGTGACAAAACAGGTGAAGCATCAGATTGTGGAAACCTAGGAACGGTGTTTTGGTGGCTGAAGGATTATGTCAAGGCTAAAGATTATCTTTTAAAATCAGTTGCCATCAGAATTGAAACTGGCGACAGAAGAGGAGAAGCATCAGATAACAGAAAGTTAGGAACTGTATGTAGGTCGCTTGGTGAGTACGTCGAGGCTAAAGAATTTCACGAAAAAGCCCTTTCTATTGGAACTGAAATTGGCGACAGAAATGAAAAGGCATCTGACTTCAGTGGTATTGCGGGTGCGTCAAGTAGACACTTTGAGGCGGAAGAATATTGTGACAAGCCACTTGCGATTAAAACTGAAACTAATGGCAGAGGCGAAGAAGCATCAGATTACGAAAGCTTAGGAAATTTGAATTGCTTGCTAAGTGAATTTGCCAAGGCTGAAGAATGTTTCGAAAAAGCCATTGCGATCAGAGTTGAAATCGGTGACAGAGAAGGAGAAGCGTCAAATTACGGTAACTTAGGAACTGTCTTTGAGACGCTTGGTAACTACGTCAAGGCTAAAGAATATCAAGAAAAAGCACTTGCTGTCATGATTGAAATCGGCGACAAATCAGGCGAAGCAACAGCCTACGGAAATTTGGCAACAGTGTTGTGGTCAATAAGTGACTACAAAATGGCTAAAGAATATCAAGAAAAAGCGCTTGCAATCAGAATTGAAATTGGTGACAGAAAGGGAGAAGCAGCGAGTTACGGAAACTTAGGAACAATTTTCATTTCGCTCGGTGACCAAGTGAAAGCACAAGAATATCTACAAAAAGCTGTTTCCCTCAGAATTGAAATCGGTGACAGAGAAGGAGAAGCAACAGATTATGGAAATTTAGGAACTATGTTTCAATTTCTTGGTGAATACGACAAGGCTAAAGAGTGCATGGAAAGAGCACTGGCCATTAAAATCGAAATCAGCGACAGAGCAGGCCAAGGGATAGATTACGGAAACTTAGCAACGGTGTACACCTCTCTTGGCGACTACGTCAAAGCACGAGAATATCTCCAAAAAGCCCTTGCGATCAGAATTGAAATTGGCGATAGAAAAGGAGAAGCATCAGATTACGGAAACTTAGGAACTGTGTTTCATTCGCTCGGTGAATACGCGGAGGCGAAAGAATATATAGACAAAGCACTTGCGATTAAAACTAACATTGGCGACAGGAGAGGAGAAGCATCAGATTACGGAAACCTAGGAAAGGTCTATATCTCTCTTGGCGACTACGTCAAAGCACGAGAATATCTCCAAAAAGCCCTTGCGATCAGAATTGAAATTGGCGACAGAAAAGGAGAAGCATCAGACTACGGAAACTTAGGAACTGTGTTTCATTCGCTCGGTGAATACGTGAAGGCGAAAAGATATTTAAACAAAGCACTTGCAATCAGAACTGATATTGGAGACAAGAGAGGAGAAACATCAGATTACGAAAACTTAGGAACCGTGTTTAACTCGCTTGGTGATTACGCTAAAGCTAAAGAGTATTTCCAAAAAGCACTTGCCATCACAATTGAAATTGGCGACAGATCAGGTGAAGCAACGAGTTACGGAAACCTTGGAACCCTATTCAACTCGCTTGCTGACAACTTCAAGGCTAAACAATGTTTCGAAAAAGCACTAGCAATCAGTGTGGAAATTGGTGATAGAGGAAAAGAAGCAACATTTTACGGAAATCTCGGAGCTACTTTTAACTTGATTGGTGAAAATTTCAAGGCTAAAGAATATCTCCAAAAAGCAATCGCCATGAAACTTGAAATTGGTGACAGATCAGGTGTAGCAGCAAGTTACGGAAACTTAGCAGCCATGTTTAGCTCGCTCGGTCAGTACGTCAAGGCTATAGAATATCAAGAAAAAGCACTTGCCATCAGAATTGAAATCGGCGACAGAAATGGAGAAGCGTTTTCTTACGGAAACTTAGGAACTGTGTTTAGCTCACTTGGAGAACACGCCAAGGCCAAAGAATATCACGAAAAGGCGCTTTCCATCAGAACTAAAATTGGCCACAGAGCAGGTGAAGCAACAGATTACGGAAACTTAGGAACAGTGTTTCACTCGCTCGGGGAATACGTCAAGGCTATAGAATTTCAAGAAAAAGCACTTGCCATCAGAAGTGAAATTGGCGACAGGAAAGGAGAGGCATTTTGTTACGGAAACCTGGGAACTGTGTACCACTCGCTTGGCGACATACTCAAAGCACAAGATTATTGCAAGAATGCGCTCGCCATCAGAATTGAAATTGGTGACAGAGAAGGGCAAACAGCAGATTATATAAATCTAGGAAACATTTTTAGATCGCTCGGTGATTTTAAAGTTGCGGAAGAATGTTTGGAAAAGGGATTGTCCATATCCAGAGATGTTGGATGTAGTAGAGCGGAGATGAAAATCCACCTTGGATATGCACTGCTTCAACTTTCTCAAGACAGACTCCAAGATTCGCTTCTTTCTCTCCATCAATGTATTGAAAAATATGAAATGTTGCGTAAGCATCTTGGAATGAATGATCAGTTTAAAACATCGATTTTGGAGGTTAGTGGTGCAATTCCTTACGCGATGTTCAGCGTGTTGCTTTCAGTCAACGGAAATCCTCGCGATGCGCTTTATGTTGAAGAGCTAGGGCGAGCGAGAGGCCTGGCAGAATTGATGACAGAAAAGTACTCTGTTGAAACGCACACGTCCGCTGATCGACAGTCGTGGTCTGGAATTGAAAACATTATGAGAGAAGAAACAAACAGTGCCTGTCTGTACATTTCCTATTTTCAAAATTTTGTGCATTTGTGGGTCTTGAAAGCAAGTGGAGCCATTCATTTCAAAAGAGTATCAGCCGACAAGGTCTTTGTTCAGTTGGGATTTGCCGCAGGCTTGACTGTCAGTCAATTTTTAACTAATTCGAGTTTCAGACAGATTGGTGTTTTGCCAGCTAAAGATTGCGAAGATCGATCTTTGAATGTCGGTGAGCCACAATCAATTTCATTTAAGCAAGAGAACTCAACGGCATTGCGACTTATGGAGGAAGACGACGAAAATTTCACAGAAGAAAATACCAGTTTGTCATTATGCTACAAAATCTTTGTCGCCCCAGTGGTTGACTTACTCGAGGAGTCTGAAGTCATCATTGTACCTCACAGAAGCTTATGCAAAGTTCCATTTGCTGCCCTGAGTGTAGAGGGTACATTTCTGTCGGAAACTCATAGAATCCGTACAATTCCCTCATTGACGACACTGAAACTAATTCAAGACAGTCCGGTGCACTATCATAGTCAGACTAATGCACTGATTGTGGGTGATCCCAAAGTTGGCTGGGTCATGTTCAAGGGAGGTATTCAGTACATCACCTCATTACCTAATGCAAGGAAAGAAGCAGAGATGATTGGACGACTGATGGGCGTAAAGCCTTTATTAGGAGAGCAAGCGACGAAGCAGGCGGTAATCGAGAAGATAATATCAGTGAGCCTAATACATTTTGCTGCACATGGCGATGCTGAAAGAGGAGAAATCGCCCTTTCCCCAATTCGTAATCCTGACAGTCCTGATATCACCCCACAAGAAGAAGATTACCTGTTAACGATGGCTGAGATATCACAAGTTAAAGTTAGAGCCAAACTGGTTGTACTCAGTTGCTGTCACAGTGGAAGTGGACAGATCAAAGCCGAGGGAATAATCGGAATTGCTCGTGCGTTCTTAGGATCCGGTGCTCGGTCGGTGTTGGTTGCATTATGGGCCATATCAGACACAGCAACAGAACAGCTCATGAATCGTTTCTATGAACATCTTGCTCGTGGAGATAGCGCCAGTGAATGTCTTTACCAGGCCATGAAGTGGATGAGAAAAAACGGCTATACCAATGTCTCTGATTGGGCTCCATTCATATTGATTGGAGATGACATCATGTTTGATTTTGGAAAATTAAGCTTGGAAAAGTAAGCCATTGTTTTCTGTTGCACGACTAAAAATAGGATTTTCATACGTAATCCTCTTCTTTTCTATGAAGAGACAGTTTTCATTGGATACTTTTATGTAGTTGTTTTAGTACAGGACTGTCAAGACACGCCGGGGTCCAGTGGAACTGTAGATCGAGGGGGTCTGAGTTCGAGCCCTGGCCGGGTCTTCGGTGCGATCTAGCAAGGGATATATATATATATATATATATATATATATATCAACGAACCTTTAAGAAAAATCTGAAGAAAGTGGACCACATCCAATTCAGGGATGTAAAAACGCCCCTAGTCGCTAGATAATAAACAGGAAAAAAGTCAGGGGTTGTGACTCAATTGGGTGGTATGCCCGCTTTGCTTTGCTAACAGTTACAATGTCCTTACTACTACCACGCGACAAATCTTGACATCTTGATGAAAATCTGTTTCAGGAAAGAGAACCTCACCAATGGAGAACAAGAAGGGAAAACAGACCAAACAAACTAGGAAACTTTCCTGCTGTTTCAATGACTGATATCTCTGTTTCCGTTGATAAGATGAACAAATCTAGCCCCGGTAATTGTCGAGGTATACAAACACTGATGATGGGTACTAATAGGTTGTCCTCTTGTCAAACGGTAATGAGCTTTGTCATGAAGTGATTTTTTCGTCCAGTTTACCTTTAAGTTCCACAACAATTCGTCACTAATCCAGATTTTTTAGGCCGATCGATGTAGTCAAACTTTCGGCTTTACCAGATCAGAGTAAAGACATTTAAGATAAGTTTCCGACTCGAATTTAACTTTTCAAAAACAATTTATAATTCCTTAGAATTTTTAAGAAGAGATTCTTTTTTCAAAGAAACGAGTTTGGGTGTGTTTAATTTAGGATTCTATTGGCTTCACATGGATGTATAGCCCCTTTTACCCGTTGCAATTCGTTTCAGTTTGGGTTCAGTGACACTCAATAAAAGTTTTACATTTCTGTCAGTGTGTGAAACACAAACTTTATCATGCTGCCAAATGGGAGTCAAACTTTGATGCAGATGATCGAAAAATGCTGTAAAACAAATAAAGTGCAAAGAGGCCCTCTGTTATTAGCACTACGGCACGTGCGCTTCTTCTTCTCTGAAGGCAAAGCGAGCCGGGGAAGGTCTGCAAGGGGGCATTGCGCACTAATAACCCAAACCCCCTGTAGATCCCTGCCGGCTCACTTCTGCTCCAAGCCTCAAACTTTCTCGCGTGCGAGAAAACGAAAACGAACTCTAAAACTCTACAACTCTAAAAAACAACTCTAACAACTCTAAAACGAAACTCTAAAACGAGTATAAAATATTTTGAAATAAATCTTCTTTAAAATGAACACACAGTTCCAGGGGGGAGCATCTCGTTTATTGCGGTCCGTAAGAATAAATCGGTTACGATATAATACTGAGAAAGATAAATACTCCTACAGTTTGCATCAGAGAACGCGATAAGAAAAAGGGAAGTGTGAGAGATGCCTTCGAATGGTTTCTGCAGAACTGGCAATCTCTGAATCAGTAAAACGAATCCCACAGGACTTCCCACAACTAAAACCATTAACATATCACTTACGCGTAATTTCCTTCCATAAATACTACCTAAAACATACTTTTTTAACATTCCGAAACATTACAAAATACATATACTGTAACGCTAATAATGACGATTTTCTCGCAGGCTACCAAACAAAGTTATGCCTTCATTAAAAGGTACTGTTGTCCCGTGTAAGTGTTTGCCAAGTGGGAGGGGGGAGGAGTGGGAGCTGGGAAATGTTTTTGCCCATCACGGAGACTTTTGCTTGTGACGTCTCTCGCGGGTTTTTTCCAAAAAACAATTCATCATCGCTCTTTTTTCTCCCCTCTCATTGCCACCGCATCCAGCGATGGAAGAGAAGAGAAATAATTCTAGTTTTTCTCTTGGAACACCGGCTCGGAACCTAAAATTTAGTAGCAGTTGTTTTCAAGTACATCAAACAGAACCATATAGATTACTTTTGAACTTTTTATTTATGTACTGTCACAGTACAATGTTTTCTCTTTCAATTTACTTCCTAAATCTACATGATATTATTAGTCTACAGAGCTTCTTTCAACACAAATTCAGGAGGTTTGAGATTAAATTAACCCTTTAACTCCCGTGAGTGACCAAGACAGAATTTCTCCTTACTATATCTATACAACATCACACAGACAAGTGATGAGAATAAAGAAAAATATCAATTATGGGATTACTTATTGATTCAATACCAAATTCTCCAAACTAGTATAATGAGAATCATTTGGCAGACAGTAAGGAGAATTATCAGTGAGATCTTGGGAGTTAAAGAGTTAAGACAAAAACCATTTGGTTAAAAATCCAATAGTTTATTCCTTTTTACCATCACCTTTAACAAAAAGGGACTCAAGCTTTTTTTTAATTTGTTGTGACCTGAAAAAATATAGTTCAAAGTGGTTTAAAGTAGCCACAAAATATGTGTGGTAGAAAAATACCACACTAAAATAATAAACCAAAAAACTATGGTCCATGACAGAAAAGATTGGGACACAATGCAAGTACTGAGATGCTTTGTGCCAAATTTTCTTAAACTGAAAATAACCAAGACAAACCTCTAGACTTTGAGGCACAGTTGTTGCAACACTGGACAGAGTATTTTAAAATGCAGACAGTGTGGCACAGAGGTAGAAAGCCAAACATTTTTTCTGTTACCAGTCACACACAGTAAGAAAATTTTGCTTCAGAGATCTGCATACAATCTTAAACAGCACAGTTCTGGTTGCTGAAATCTCACAATGACAACTTCCATTTTGTTAAAAAAGGCACTGACTGAGGGCATTTGAACTTCTAAAATGCAATTCAAAATTTAACAATCAAGTGACAGCATATTTCTAACAGCAATGCACTGCATTAATATATTCCCCTGTAGCACAAGTTCCTCGAGTTTTTAATTATGAATAGACCTCTCTTTATACATCGTGACTTTCTACAACTGCACACATTTACATTAAATAATAACAAACCTACCCTTATCATAACAATGTATGTTGCAAAGTACCTTGTGTTACATGAAATTTTTGGCAAAGTAAAACTTTTGGAACCCTGATATTTCACAAGGTAATAGTCATGACTTAAGAATGAGTCGTTTTAGTCTTTGCAATTTCACAATAAGGAACCAATTACCCTCCAAAGGCAATTGAGCCTAAACCAAATATTAGAAAACAAATGAACAAACAGAAAACAACTCTACAGTATTGAGACTGACATTCTCCTGCTAAATAACAAATCTGTACCAAATTCATGCAATACAATTCTACTGCTGTGAAATATAACATGGCATACCTGACAAAATAATTATGATAATAAAGAGACTTGCTCTTTCTGAAACAAGCACTGCTCCTAAAACTATTTCTTCAGTAGTGACCGAGTAAGGAATTTAAATCCTTATTATAGGGGCATTGTGAGATTGCTGTCAAATGACTTGCTTATATACAGGGTGATGACAACTAAATTGAAAAAAGTACACACCTTTACTGCTGAACTCCATGGAGATTGGGATTAATTCTTCATTAACCCTTAACACCCTAACATCAGAATCAAATTCTTCACACTATTCTTTAGACACTTCCTATGGTTCTTACATGGAGAATTTGTCTAACAATAAAAAGCCTCTTAAATTTGCCCTCATTTCCTTTACTCTCGTGCCCCTGTTTTTTAATCAGGGGTAAGACTGTTGGTAGAAATTAGAGATGCTTATCACTCTTAGGGTTTAAAGGATTAATTGAACATTGCCCAATCAAACTATAGCTCTGGAAATATGCTCAAACCCCAAAACCACAAACTAATTATTGCCTTTTATGCAATGTAGTTTTATGTCACCTGATGAGCTTTTTTTCTTGAACCAAACTGAATCCCATAAATAATACTTGTTCCCATTGAACTCAGAGTTTCAAAGTCATTTTCTATACAGCCTGTCCAGTGGTAGCTAGTTCAATCCCATTTTGCTGAAGCTGTGCTCTCAGCAGGGCATTCTCTTGTCGAAGTTCTTCAACTTGTTGTCGTAAGAGCTCTGTGTCTATTGTAACCCTTTCTGCATCTTTAATAGCTTCTGCCATTCGCGCATTGTGTATTTTCAGCTCATTGATATAGTCCACTGTCTTTGACAAAATGCCTCCTTTACTCTGCCAAAGGAACATGAAAAAAATATCACTGCATTTTCTCCACAGATCTGTTTAAGTAGTTCTTCCCTTTGCCTGTTACTAAATAAACTGTTGCCTGTCCTACAATCGAGGCAACACCTTCTTAATGATTAAGCTGTCTATACCTATTACCTGTTTGCTGATTACTCTAATGAAAGTGTGAGGAGAACTAATATATTGATCATGTCTAGGATCTTATACTTTTGTTACATTTCCCCACATTTTTTTTGGTACCAATTTATTTTCCTGGGTAAACAAAGGCTATCCTTAGAGTATTGTTTGTTTACCAAGAACAAAAAACAGGAACTTTAGAAAGGCTTAACCTTGGACTTATGATACAACCTTTTCAAAGTCCACATTTAGTGACCAAAACAGTTGCCAAGCAAAAACAAAAAACAAAAAAATAATTTCTTGGTGCAATATCACATGAAAAAATGTAACACCAAAAACAATGCTTGTCTTTTAAGTAAACAGTATGGCTAGCATTTATCTATTTTTTTTCCAGCAAGAATCAATGAATTGAGTGCTAAGAAGAAAGAGGCCATGTATTAAAGGAAAAACAACACAAATACTATAAACTCCCAATAATATTAATCACTGTTCAGCAAGCAGGTAATGAGAATACCCAGACATATTGGGTAGGAGTAGTTATCTTGATCAAAGACCAAATTCTTGTAATACATTTACAAGGAAATATAAAGCAGCTAGAAGAGAGAATTGAGAATCAGGCCTTGAGAGCAAAATACTCAGTTGGTGTCAAAGACTCAAAGTCCACCAATAATTGTCATAAAAATCACTTTGAAGCATAAAAAAATCCTGAGACTTGTGTTGTTCTCTAATTAATTTTTTTTCTGATACATCTGAAATATCATTTTCAAGAGAGAAAGTCAGTATTTCTCACTTGGAGGTGCAAAATGCTGAATAGACTCTCAAGGGTGCACTAAATTTCCAACTTCAAATATCAAAGCAACAAATAGATTTAATCAAAACCACATTATTCTCTCAAAAAACATCTAAAAGAGTACATCAGAGAAGATTTCTAGTTGATATTATTTCATTATGGATGTCAATAACAGACAAAACAAAGACTTCCCAAATTCCTCATTTGACTTTGCTTGAGACTGACAACCAAGACAACACCACCCTCCTCCCCCCCCCCCAAAAAAAAAAATTGTTGTCAGAGACAAAATCCAACTTAGGCAGGAGAGTACAAGTAATTCTTAACTTCTGTGATTGTGTAAGCAAGGTTGTCTATGACATTTCTACATTGCAAGCTTCCATACATGATAAGGATCAAGTTAATAAATTTTGCTAAACTTCTCCCTAATTCTGTGATTCTTTCCTCATGATGCTATAATACTCTGACTCTGTTTGAATGAAAGGGAAACACCTGGCACAAATAAAAAAATGGATGGCTCTCTAAGATTGGCCTTTTCATGCAAAGCAATGTTGTTAAGTCGGAAATAGTTGTTAGCTTGGGGGAAGCGTTACCTGACATCCCACAGAATGGCTACAAAGAAGACTATATGGCAAATACAGAAGTAAAATCAGAAATACTTACAATATTCTGTGCTCCACCAGCCTGGCCAGCTTTTGCCTGCTCAGTGCAACATTCTGGTACAACCTTAGCAAGTTTGTTGATCCATGAGTTTATTTTGTCTCTACGGCGACGTTCCACTAAAGTGGGATGATAATGATTGCATTGAAATTAAAAAAAAAGGAATTGTAATTTTGAACCACTTGTTTTTTTGATAACTTAGTAGTAGAAAAGTGGGCAGCTTAAACCATGTGGTTAAGTCATATGGATGTCATGTGTGCTACTCTCGCACCTCTTAGAGTACAAGGAGAACACATGATCAAAAAAGAAAAAATCCAAGCAAATTTATAGTGGCTAGTGCCTGTTAAAATACTGACCTAACACTGCTTATCTTAACCACTTCCACCAGCACCTTAAGACCGATGAACTCAGAGTCCACCACATTTACTTAACTTGACAAATTGTCACCTAACACCTAATAGTTGTCATTTTTCAAAACTGAAGATTGTTTCTTCTTTTATCATTTTCAAGTCACGTATGACAATCTGTAGTAATTTAAAATCCTGGAGATCAGTCAACATCTACACCTATCTTTGATTTACTAAACAACGGCTTTTTCCATAAAACTTTCCAAGATTATTCTCAATTGGTAACACCACTTTCAGAAAAAGAATTTTAACAAAACTTCGATCGGAAATCGTGTGAATATATCTACATTGAGAGAAAGTGGTTTTAAATAATTGCGGTGTTGAGATACTCTAAAGTTCCGTCTAAATAACGATATATTAAACATAATGTTTCCTTGCCATCGTATTTCAAAACAACTTACAAAAATTTGAGTTTTATCAATTTACCTTCGTTATGCGTCGCCCGCCTCTTTTCGTCCCTTGCAGTACGCGGAGCATCCAACTTCCTGTTAAGAGCAACAGAGTTACTTAAAACATACACAACCTCCATCTTGAAACCTTTATCACTCCGTTCGAGGGTGGAAAATATGAATCAAACCTTCGTTCGCCTGGTTTTTACTGCTTTGAACGAGGGAGAAAGCTAAGGAAATCGAACATGACCGTCACATGATTGAAGAATATCATGTGACACGCAAACTATCATGTGTTCAGAAACACATGACTCAAAGCCGCTCAATTCAAAAACTAATGCAAATTCCAAACACACTACAAACTTTCTTCGACAGAAGTACACTTACTGATTATCTCTAAGGATGTTTAAGCGATTTTTGCGAGTGCGAACGGTTTCGAATTAGACGAATCGAGTAGACTCATGACAACAGCTATCGATGATTCGAATCATGTTACATCGCCGAGGTTTAATGTGAGGCTTACCGATTTGAGAAATCGACTTTGAAGCAACAACCGTAAAAATAAACCACCTAAACAATGTTCACTGATGTTTCGGGAGGGAACTTAAGATTTAAAACTAAAAGCTGTTAAAGAAAAATATCCGGTTTAAGCAAAATCAACCAAACTTCAGTGAAGAAACGAAGGTAGAGATAATAAATTTTCCTATAAATAAAAGATTATCCAGAAAAGACGAGCAAATACTACAGTCGACATATCATCATATATACGAGTTATAGATTTCTTGTCAAACAATTTTTCCTCTCCTATAAACACCATTGCTTTTCACTCACGTGGATATTTTGTGAGTCATAGCCGGGGCTATGTTCCGTTGGGTTCCGCCTGGCATAACATCTTGTGGAGACATCATCACGTAAAAACCACCTATGGTATAGTAGAGTAAGATCTCTTGAATTCATACTTCAAACGTTAAAATCAAATCGCAGCAGTGTTATGGTCGACGATTTGAATTAAATGAGGGAATGTGCCCACCTGTAGCAGTACCGACAGTGGTGATAGTCTGCGCTTCGGCCATTGTAATTGGTATTTGGGAAGGCGAAGATGGTTGAGTAAGCGACACGGGAATGTTTCGCACTGTGTAAGCGCTTGTTCCATCTAAAGCATCGTTTGTACCGGCTTGAACCACTGTGGCTGTTGTGGCACCGTCAGCCGCCTGAAAATACGTAAATCTAGCCCCATCTGCGGCACCTTCAGCCTCCACAGTATGAGTAGGGGAAGAGCCATTACTAAATGGGCTTTGGATAACAGTTTGTACTTGGGGAGCGAAAGCAGCCGTGGCGGCATCTACTCGTTCGCCAGAAGGATCGGCGGCTTGAACCTGAACGACTCGAATTGGCTGTGTCCCTCCATTAAATCCCGTAGTTTGTACACCAGTAGCGTCTGTTCTGTATTGGAACTGAAGGGTGCCTGGATCACCGAAAGCGGCGTTCGCTTGTTGTCCTACAAGAGCAGCTGCCGTTTGCTCTTCGGAAACAGTCGATACTGTCACTGTGACTGTTTCTGGCTCCGGCACTTGTGTTGGATCGGTGGTTTTGGGATCTTGTAATGGTGAATTTTTCTCTGGATCCAAAGACCCGTCGAGCATGTCCAGAGTTGGAGAACTGGAGTGCGGAGTCGTGGTCATGGGGTCAAACAAACTGGTCATGTGAACAAGAAGAGAGAAGCGACGAAACTGACCACGAGGACAACGAACATCACATGATAAGGTACGTCATCGCGGCTTCCTTTCCAGCGCCCTTTTTCGTTACCGTTGGAAACCGTCCATCAAAAGTGCAGGGTCAGGTCAATCACGTGTACTAACATGTGAAAAAAGCACGTGATTTTGGTGGATTCGTTGCTTTTCCTTTCAAAAAGGCTCAGTTGAAAGAGTTCAATTAATTTTTTTTCGATTTTTCTGTGATCATTCACGTGGAAAAAAAATAAAAAAAAAAAAACAGTTGCGGTGTTCTCATATCCCGAGAAACCCCGAGATAAGCTGAAATTTAAGTACTAAAAAGAGTCTACGAAATAAAAGCAGATGGTTAACCTGCTATAAATTTATAACAAATATCACGTAGTAACGATTGTAGTTATATGTCAGAAAAAGCAAATTGGTCACCAGTCCACTCCATCTCATGCATGTGATAAACCATAGGTCTCAACATTTCCCACTTTTTTCTGCACTTTAAACTTTTGGGGCGGGAAAGTTTTACTACCCACTGACCAAAACCTGGCTAATCAATGCCTATCAAAACACTCGGAGAACAAAAACTCGACTTGGATGAAAAGAATCGTCGCGAAGTAATTGAACGCAGAGGGAGAGAGCATTAGAGTACGTAGCTCTGGCGGAAATATAAAGAAGAGGAATGTAATTAAAATGAGCCAAAGATGCATTCACTTTGCCGTATTCAATTTTGCACCCAACCAGATTATTTTATCTGCTCTGACTCAGCTCTTCACTGTCATGGAAATTTGAGTCGATAATCAGCTAATTGCTATGACAAGCTCTTAGCTTAGCGAGACTTGACAATCACCGTTAAGCGAAATTTATTCGTTTAGCGAAATGCATATCAGCCTTGTTTGCTGGAGAAAACAGCCATATCGATGAATAGGTTGTTTAATAAAAGAATACAGATTGTAGCATTCGATGGGCTATATCAAGTACTGAAGTGTGCATCGATGTGCAATATTTATAGTCTTCACTGAAACGATGACGATAACGATGGCACAACGGCAGGGCAGGGCAGGATAATCAGAGGTTGATTGATTTAACGTTCCAAACTAATGAACTGAAGAACTCTGAACTCTCTACGGTGGCCAATTTATGTTATAAACTCAGTTGATAAAGCCAAATTACCTTGTGATACCCCCCACTGACGCAGCCCCGCAGTTTCTTTACCCATTCACCAAAAATTTACTCAACTTACCCATCATTTTCATTTTTTTTAAAGACGGACAAGATGGGGGAGGGAAAAGGGGGAGAAGACAATTAATTTACGTAATGTCTTCGAACTCATAAAAATTCACCACAATAATTTTTTAGAATTTTTTTTCTATGTGGTGGGCGCAAATATTTCGTTGATCCCTCATGACTGGCTGTTCCCGTATCACGCGACACTGCGAACGTGTTCAACGTTGTTTCCTGCGAACGAATGTTTGAGGAATTGAAACGTGATGTCTGTACAAGAATAGTTACGTTGCATGTGATCTACCTAATTAACTGGATCCTGTCACTGATGCTTTTGAAAAAGATCATAATTATCTCCTTTATTTTACTTTGAAAGCTTTTTAGAAGATTATTCTTGATGGTTTTCATTTCGAAAAAGTACAGTGATGTTACGTTGCATTAAATTTCATTTCGGAAGGGTGTGGACTCCAAATCAAAGTAAAAAATCATGAGTCAAAAATCACGCCTGTTTCCATTCCAGGTGAATTTATTCAAATCATGTTATTTCTTCATTTCTTCTTTGCCTTTTTGTTCTCCCATCGAAAGTCGTGTCTGTTAAAAAAAGGGAGGAAGTTAAGAAAAAGGGAAAAACGAACATCTTCAACATCTTAACATCTTGATATCTTCTAAGCTTACCTTGACTGCCAGCGTGGGCCATGATTCCACACTCTGCCAAACGAAGGCAACCTTAAACAAAAGCAATAAATAGTGATCTACCTATTAAACTAGTTCCCATCAAGTCTGTGTTTCGTTTACGAGGCAATTTCACCCCCGTTAGCAAGCTGAGATTTTAGCCCTGTTAAATAATATCGAGAAGGAAAAATTCAGCGCGGTTACAGGATGAAACAAGAACGAGAAGCCATGAGTGAGACGTGATCTTTCTAGTTTCATCTCTAGAAACGAAATTAGTTTTTAAGATTAAAAAAAAAAACAAAAAAAATTGATCCCGTCATGTCAAAAGAGTGATGAGCCGAAAGGTGGAACATCATGAACCGAGCACGCCCCGCTGACCAGGTTCGTATGGAGCGGCGTAAGAACGTTCTTGAAATGACAAGAAAATAACAACAACGAAAAAAGAAAAAATTTAAAAAAGGTGTCATCGCTTTGGAGCACATTTCAAGTGAGAGTCGTAAACCAAAGTAATCGCAAGGGCCAATAATAACAAGGGAAAATATCCGAAGCGGTCAATTCTCCACTAAAACTAAAACCAAATAAACTGCCTGTAGAGTAGGAGAGTCGCGGTTTGGTTTTAGTTCCGAATCTGATGGGTGAAGGGGGAGCACAACCTTCCTAGATCAATCACAGAGGGAAAAAAAGCCCTTCATGATTGACTCTCGTAAAACCAAAATAAAAGTTATCACTAGGGCCACTCAGAAGAAAGGAAAAAAACATCTAAGAGCCGAAGAAAATTTAAACAACCAAACTGCCAAAAGCGATGAAAAATGCGGGCGACCAAGTTTGGTTTCCATGTAATTGGTTTAAAAAGTGGTGCAAGTTTTCTGAACCAATCACAAAGCGAAGTGAAGCAAAAGTAATGCAATCCCGGAGTACTTTAGACACTTTATTGACAACTGTTAAAGCAAAACCAATCAAATTCAAGACAACTTTTGACACACCAAAGAAATTGGCTTGACGCAATTTCAGAAGGAACGAACTGAAGTAAACGAAGTACAAAAGCAAAGTAAAAACTGAATGCTATTTGGGAGCGAACGCACCACAAAAAAATCTTCGCTAGAAGTGGAAGAGATTTGAATAAACTTGAGCACCTACCTTAGAGTTTTGGTTGTATTTCATCTGTAACAATTCATAAACCTACCAGTCATCACTTGTCTCTCTTTTCCGGTCAAAGTTTGCGCCAACTCGCTGTGGATTTTTGTGATTTATTTTTTTCATTTTCTCCACTGAAAAAAAAAAATTCCAAGAAAAATTGAATTATATTGTTAATCTCATGAAAATGACTCTTAGAAGCCGTAGCCACAGCCATAGGTATCGTAAAGCGCTTTCTTTTCTCTAAAGTGTTTTTAAACATTTAAAATGCTAAAACAAAGGTTACCAAAATGTGCAATCAGAGCATGGGAAAATTTCAAAGGGAGCCAATGTGAATTCAACATAATCCCAAGCAGCCACTCTGAAGCACGGGAAAACCTGAGTGACCCATTCAGTTGTTTTTCATTTTGCATTTTATTGGTTAAGGAAACATGGCGAGAGATTTTTGAGCCCATCACCGAGCGTAATGAAAGAGAATCTGTGAAATCAAGGATAACTTTCTTCACCCTATGGAAATCGTTCCATTTCCATTCGTCTCAAGTAGGTTTTCTACGATTTTTTTTGCTGCGATTTGACTGGGGATAAGTGAAGCTGCCGAGTATTACACGTATTTCCTCTCCATCAACCTCCAGCTGATATGAATCATTGAATACCTCTAAATGTGTGCCATCGTTTCAACAATCATGTCAGCTACGAGGTACTCTGACTCATGCAAGGAACAATAGCACTTTGAAAGAAATTCATTATAGCATATCATGTACATACCATGCTTTTTAAAAGCATCATAAGATGGACCAATGACAACATCACTTGTAGTGCTGCTATCCTGCATTTTAAAATGAGTATCTGTTAATGAATAGCTGTAATAGGGTGCTCCTGATTTAAATCAGAAGACCATAGGATAGGCTCTTGTCAAAGCAACTAGTTTTAGGTTTTTTGGAATAAATTTCTGGCACCAATTGGCTTCACCCTTTTAACTCCCATGAGTGACCAAGACAGAATTTCTCCTCACAATATCAAGACAATATCAAGCAGACAAGTGATGACAACTAAGAAAAATATCAAGCAGGAGATTATTAGCTGATGCAATACCAAGTCCTCCCAACTAATATCATAAGAACTGCATGGTAGACAGTATGGAGAATTACAAATGAGATCTTGGGAATGAAAGGGTTAAACACACCTTGTTATCATCATCGTCGTCATCATCATTATCATCTCTCAGCCACGGGGGTGTTGCACCTACATAAACCAAAAAATTAAAAAATATATATACAAAGAAATTCATTTTGAAGAGCTCAACCTTGATATGGCAATTTTCAAGTCTCACTAATGGCCAACACACCCCTCTGCATTTTTACACTTGATTGCAAAGATTGCTTTAATCACATAGATACTGTGATACTTTTTTTTTATGTTTTTGAAGAGGGAAGTGCAAAAAAATGTTCTTGCACAGAACATCACCTCACGACTAATACTGAGACAAAAATCTCCTCAGGCTCCATGAAAATTGTCAAATAATTTCCTTGCCTTTCCCACTGAGAAAATTATTCACTTTACTCTCTGCAAACAAATGTGTTTCAGTCTAACCTGTGTGTATATTTCCTTCTCCCTCCTTAAGTTCCTGCATGGAGATAAAAAATTCAAAAGATTTTATTTCTAACAATTTATGCTGTTATACTAATGTAACTCCCATGAGTGACCAAGACAGAATTTTTCCTGATAACATCAATATGATATAAAGCAGACAAGTGATGAGAATAAAGAAAAATGCCAATTAGGGGATTATTAGTTGATCCAATACAAAATTCCCCAAACTAACATCATACGAACTGAATGGCAGACAGTAAAAATAATTTCTAATGAGATCTTGTGAGTGAAATAGTCAACCGCTAAATAAAACATTTAATCAGGCAATTAAAATTAATGGGGAATACTTTGCACAGTAGCCAGATAATTTGGTAATTTCCATAGTCTGATGAACCACCAAGAAGAAAACTGAGCTACGAAATTTTTTTTTTATATACCTAACTGTCTATTACCCTTTAACCCCTACGAGTGACTAGCATCTAATTTCTCCAAACAAATATCATGCATGAGTCACACATTAAGGTCACAAGAATAAAGGAAATGATCATGAACTAAAGAAGCTCTTGAATAAAGGGGTAAGTTTCTAAAGAAACTGTGGTGCTGCGTCGGTGGGAGAGTATAGCAGGTAATTTAGTGTTAACAACTGGGTTGAAAACCTTAATTTAGCCACCGTAGAGGGTAAAGAAGCTGACGTTTCGAGCAAGTTTCGTCAATTGCTCTGACGAAGGGCTAACGCTCGAAACGTCAGCTTCTTTACCCTTTACGGTGGCTAATTTACGTTTTCAACCCAGTTGTTAACACTAAATTACCTGCTAAAGAAGCTCTTGATTGTTTGACAAATTCTCCTTTTCAGCACCTTAGGAAGTGTATAGAGAACAGTGTGGAAAACATATATACTATTTTTTGGGTGTACAGGGGTAATGTTTTATACAGAAGATGCAGAACAGTACCGGAATTCCTATGCAAGTAAGATTCTCTCCAAAAGCTTCAGCTGTTTGGAACCTTGTTTTTGTTACGACACCATTTGAAAGGGGAGAACCTACATGCACAAAACAGGATATGGAGCACAATATTCATGAGTCAATCCTATCATGATGTTTAGGAAGAAATATAAATTTCTGACTACAAAATGATTGCTATATCAAAAAGGGTAAACCAAATCTGAACCAGCACAAGTAGACTGAACACCTTGAATAAACAATATAGAAAATCTTTTACTACTAGATACCACCCAACTTCATAACCCACAATTTGAAAAAAAGGACTGCAAGGTGGATCCAGACAATTCATAAAAAGGAGCCAACAACTGTGGGGAAGACACAACTTAACTTCACATAAATATCACTGAATAACCTACATTAATCTATCTTAAAAACTGAAACAAACCCTTCAACACCTAAAGAAAATTGGAGAGGGATATGGACCTCTCTTCCCTACCCAAAATCTTCTTATGTTACTGAAAGAAGGGCAGGGCACCCTGTATGTATGGGGGGAAGACGAGGGACGACATGCTAAGATCACCAAGAGATCATGATTGTTACACTATGACTTTGAGTCTATTAATGAATTATTGCCCAACACAAGTCAAACCTTTAGAGCCTTTATCAATTGAATCCATATTCCATGGAAACCACTGATTTGAACCAGGTCTAAAAACAATAAGTACGTTTTCTAGTTTAATGAGAATCAAAATGATAAAAACCATGTGAATTACAGTAACTAAAATTAAGAGTTCATAAATTACAGTTATTCATCATCTCCACATCTCCCAAAGTGCACTTCAATTGCCTCCCAAAATTTGGCATAACCATTGTTTTGCATTTCTTACTTAAGCATTTTTCAATTTTGGGAATAATGTAAGCATGTTATGAGAAATATGAAAGTGGTGCTAACTTTTGTGTGACCCATTCCTAATTCAGTTATTTATAAAATTGAATAAAAAGAAGTCTTAGAACATATGAAATGAGGATTCACGGTGAACAGTAGCAAAGACTTCCTTAACCCTTTGACCCATAAGAGTGATTAGCATCTAACTTCTCCTTACAATATCACCCCTGAATTACCTATAAAGGTCATGAGAATAAAGGAAATGATCACTGACTAAAGAAGCTCTTGATTGTTTAACAAATTCTCCTTATCAGCACCTAACAAAATCTATGGGAAACCTTACCGAGAATATGCATATTAATATCAGCATGTAAAGGGTATAATAAAAGTTCTTTTATTTCTTTCCTTTTCTTTTTTATCCTAGAGGAAAAGTCTATTGATTATGATGAGTGAAATTTCCGAAATCATTTACCCAAGAAATTCCTTTCCTATTTACAAATATATGAAATATATATAAAGAACAAATACCGTTACCTGTATTTTACTATTCCACCACCCCACACTCTTTGTCCTTCATGCCTACACAGATACATGTAATTATACTTGTAGCGTCTTCAATTGTTAAATTCCACAATAACATAACTCAATAATTATCTTCCCAAACACAGCTATAGCAGAGTAATTTAGTATTATCAACTGAGTTGACAACATAAACTGGCCACTGTAAGGAGTTTCACAGCTGATGTTTCGAGCATTAGCCCTTTGCTCTGATGAAGGGCTATTACTTGAAACATCAGCTTTGAAACTCTTTATGATGGCCAATTTATGTTATCAACTCAGTTGATGATACTAAATTGTGCTTTTTGTTGAGCTTTTTGGCTGATTAAAGCAAAGTTTAGCCTTTATACAAACAACTCAAGCTCATCCCATGATCATCACAGTGCATGAGGTGCAAGCACATCATGAGTTCCATTCATGACTATTATCTGTTACCAGTAAATAAAAGTATCTTTTTGAAATTAAAAAAACATAACACAGAAGAATTGCATTGATTTTTGTCTGCAGAATTAGACAGTTCCACGAAGCAGAAAAATACATTTTGTCAAAATTTTATTGTATTTTATTACAAACCATCCAGTGGGGTTCTGAAGAATTCCTTGTTCATTTTGTACTGTTTTGTAGACAACTTCAGGTGTAACTTGAATTTCTGGTGGCTGTTGTTTAAATATTCAGGAAACAATAACGACACCAAATACAAAATAACGCAGACATGTTTGGTGTTCCCATTAGGACAACTTTACAACTACAGTTACTGTAATGGCTATATCCTGGTATCAACTCAACAACACAAGAAGCTTAAATAATAAATTTCTCACCAAGTGTAAAAAATATTGACAGGAATGTTTCATTTTACTCAAAACCACTTCACTCCTTCCTTCTTCACAAAGACTTTCTTGTTTCAAGCCTCTGACTTCCATTAATTAACTTTTGACCCCAAAGAATGACTAGCATCTAATTTCTCCTTACAATAGCACCCCTGAGTTATACATTAAGGTCATGAGAATGAAGGTAATGATCACCAACTTAAGTCAGCACCTTAGGAAATGTTTAGAGCACAGTAGGGAGAATGTGCTGTGTGTAGCAACTACAGCCCACTGGAATACACCAACAAAAGGAAACCAAAATGCTATAGATATTGAGACACAATCATTTAACTCTGCTTGAAATGTCACCATCAAAGATTGATATGATTCTTTCTTAAGACGTGAACAAACAAGCAGTATACTATATCTAAATTTTACTTTTGTGTGTGACATTATTTCAATATCAGGATACATCAGTCAGTTACCCTGCCTCAAAAACAGACCTGTTGGCTTGTATGAGCTTGAAGGAGTTCTCTATGTTTGATCTGGGAAACTGCCTGGTGAGAATGAAGAGAGAAATACTGTAATACGAATTTGCAGAACATTAAAACCACCAGACAGGTGAGTATGTAAAATGCTGCTATTTTCAGGCCTGAAAGACAGGTGAGTATATAAAATGCTGCTATTTTCAGGCCAGAAAAAAAAACCTGAAATTAAGCCTGTGGATTGAAACTTGTCTAGAGCCTTAGCAAGAAAATCTACTGAACTTACCTGAAAAACTAAGTAAGAGTTTTGTTAAGACTTGTCGTTTTTCTTAAAACAGTCCATTTACCAAAAGATCTCACATTTTGAACCTTAGACATTTTAGACTTCTCATTACAATGCAGATGTAACTCAAACTGAAGACAATTCATGGAAATTGATTTTACCAGTGTGTCAGGGCTCCTAACACAAAACTATCCTAAGTTGTCATTTGGCAAACTTTAAATTGTAAAATGGTCAAGAGACTTATTATTTAAAGTCCTGACCTTTAATCTCTTTTGTTCCATTGCAGCTTCAAATTCCTGGAGTTTCTTGTTGACCTCTTCTTTGTAGCTACAAAGAATGAAAATAATTACCTGAGTGTCTTTAATGAGTATGCTGAACAAGTTTTATCCAACTCTGGTGTTTCCCAAATGATAAATAGTAACTAAACATACACTGTAATCATACAAAAATACAATAAAAATACTAGTCCATGGAATTCACCAGAATCAAAGAACAAACCTGTTAAACTTCTCTTTATTGATTAAGAACTTTTCTTTAAGATTTTTGTCTGCTCCATTTTCCCACCAGTACTTGTGAAGATTTTTGCTGTGATTCTCACTAGAAATAACAAACAAAATATATCATTCTGGCAACTTTTACTTTGCCTTTTAGAACAAAAGTAAGAGGAGGAACCAATCTGTAAGTTCTAGAGCTAGTCCAGTTGTTTGAGGTATCACAATTTCCAAAAGAGGCATTAGATCAATTCTTCATACCAAACAGGTGTAGTGAATGTAATTAAGCAAAAAATATGCAAACCAAAGAATAAAAAAAATTTGAAATTGGGAGGACATTTACAGGAGTGGCTCAGTTTCTTTGTGATTTTAACTTTATCTTGATTCACTGGGAAACTGCACAGCACTAAAGTACCAGCTCTGTCAGCTTGATCACAGTTGGCTCAGTTTATTATGTACTGAGACAGAAGTTGATAAACATTATGAAAAAGTAACTGCAAACCAGTATGAGGACAGGTAGATATAACAATTCCCATTGTGAGATGTTCAGAATTGTTTTAATCTTAGTTTCTATGACAGATTTTAATCTCTAAACAAGTCTTAGGAATTCAAAATTGGTTTTAATTTTCACACAAGATCAAAGACACCTCTCTATGAAATGATAAATGCAGTCTCTTTTATAATCATTGAAAAAGCATGGAAATATGCAAATGTAAAAATATCATTGTCTGGGAAAGATTTAATACCTTGCAAAGTGTTCAAAGAGTCCACCATACTTGATAGTAACTTCTCTATCAGTGACATGTTTATTAACATTCTCACTGCAGAAGTGACACCAAAATCTTGACCCTGGCTCTAACTCACCATCTTCAACAGATGGTTTCTTCAGAAACTTTCTGGCTTCGTCAACCTGAAAAAAAAAAGTCAAAGTTTGTGACACTTTTACCCAGATTTAACTTTGATCAAGTGAATATTCCCAGTTTAGTGACATTGTTCTCCCCCCATGGGGAAAAGAGGTACTGGCAACAGATCAGCCATTCATGGTGCTTTTATCATAGGATACTGAAATCAACTTTGACAATAAGGGGAAGAGAGGTGCGAGATAAAAAAAACCAATAAATTGAGTTTCAAAATGTGATAAAGAAGAAACACTTGCATCTTTGCATATCAGCCCACCTTTTTGCCAAATTTAATCAGGATCTGGCTAAGCAAGGTCCTATGCTTTCTTGAGTAAATATGTTTTCTCCCTTGGTCGTGGTTTATACGGCAAATAATGCAGAACAGAAATTGTCCCTTCGCACCGTCTTCTGCGTTGCCATCCGCCATAATGAATATTTCCCACAAATCATTTCAAGCTGGGTGGTTTACCGCTGTCCTTCAATGTGCTGGCTCTTGTCCAAGGATATAGTGCCACAGTTATTAGCATCTGTCGGAAATATTTCTTTATTCTTCAAGTCAAATGTATGAAACGCTAGTTTTTACAATCGAAAAAGGCTTTGCGGTGTGGAAGCCTCACAGCAACAGACAGCTTTTTATACTTGGTGCTCAGATAACGTGTCTATCGTGATTTACAGGACAATGGTTGTTGACATTGGTTGTCGCCTGTCACTGGACGGAATATACAGAGATCATCGCGGTCTATTATTGTTAGAGGACAGCTGACATGCAGCTGAAACGGAACAATTGCTCTCATGACTATTTAATGAGGTAACCTGCTTGCCTAAAGGGAAGCAAATTAGCCCAGGATTATGAAACGAAAGAGACCTACTTTTCATTTTTCGCACACAGAGCGATTGTTGACCTATAGTGTTCTACCATATTAATGTCAGTAATGAGTTGCAAAGAAGAGTTAATTGGCTAAGCGCTTGAAAAGGTCCTTAGGGAAAGAGATGTTTCCTGCTGTTTGTCTTTCGTTCCGGAGGAAAGGCAAAGAGTGACAACCGGCCCGTGCTTGTTGAATGTTATTATGGCAGCTGACTAAGTGAATTTGTGTAAGTATGGCGGGAACTTCTGTTGAGAGTAACTCCAGCCTGGAGATATCGAGCGGAGCGTCGGGTTCTCAGGCTATTTCTCCCAACGATAATCCTTCTTTAAGCGCAGATGGATTTGAATCTGAGCTCTTCTTGTGTCATCACCACGGAACTTTTTGTTCGGCGCGTTCTGCCACTGCTGCGGAGAAATTCACTTGGTGCAAAACGGACGATGATAACTCGCCGAATGGAGAACTTATACGGGCATTGAAAGACTTCAAAGCGAGAAGCCTTGCTTTAAAAGCAGCTCTAGAGGATGAAGCCATGGTAAATGATATTCAGAAGGAGTTGTCTGACTACGTGTGTAGTTGCAGCGACCCGAAATATGTCCACTTAGTCAGTGGGTACCATGTGGAGTGCATTGAAAAGTTTTGTTCCAAGAAGGAGACCTTCACACAATACCACGAAAATCGATTTAAAACCTACTCTGACGTTGGATCGACCAAAGCTAGTAACCATGTCACTAGTGCAGTCGCCCCTGAGGAATTCTACAAATATTTCTTCTACGGTGTGAAACATTGGAACTACTGCGTAAATGATGAAGACATTGGCGCAGTAATAATTACGTTGAAACCCGAAGTAACCAACCCACACTCAAAGGGATCATTCAGGTAAAATATTGTATCATTATTACACTGTAATACCTTTAACTGAAGGCGAATTCCCTGATTTGTGCTTTGATTTGCATTTTGACGATGACTATTCTTAAATTTAACCACATTGACAAGAATAACGAATAAATACAAGTCCAGGCGTGAATTACGTAAATTACGTCATATGTTTATCAAGTTTTTCTCGGTAAATCATAACTTTTCGAAACTCCCAAAATTTACAACATTTCAATTGCCTTTCATTTTATTTGAAATTAAACCTGAAAATGATCCATTGGAAGGTCATTTCCTCTACGCAAAGAAACTCGATAATATTGGCCCTTGAATGTGTCCGTGCCTTATCCAAAAAGACAGATGTATCACTTTTAATCTGATCTTTGACTTTTTGGAAGGTTTCATTTTACCAGTTCATTTGGCATGTTATAAGCCAATTTAAATCCTGTTATTTTATGTGGTTGCCAAGTTTATTTTAATGGTTTTACTGACATTTCATAAATATCTATATGTATCTTCAGCCATGAGGTAAATAGTTGGTAAAATATTTAATTAACCTTAATCTAACTTTCATTCATCACTTATCTGGCAATGAAATGTCTGGTGTTGAGTGTTGCATTTAATTATGACCACCTACAGATGGTAAGGGAATTATCTATCATATGATTTAGTGCTTGAGGTGCTCTAGATCTGTATGAATAATTAAAGCACATAAGGTGTTGACATAAATAGATTGTAAAAACTCATTTGTGACAATATGATACATCATTTATGCTAAAAATCCCCTTTTAATTATTTTTCCACATGTCTTAAAATAATTGTTTTTAGAAATCAGACCTTGATCATTAATTTGTTCACTGGATGAACTGAAATGTTGTCAATACTATGTTTTGAGAGAACTTCTCCATTACTATAACATTTAAGTCACATTAACATCAACAGTTTTATTTCAATTTACAGGAGAGTAATCTAGTTCATGAACAATATATAATATACCAAAATTTCTTGACCTGGTAAAAAAAAGTTTCACTGTAATTAATTAATCTTAATCTCTGAAAACAAATTTTAAGTGACAGCTACATTTTCATTTCCAAAATTTTATTTACTATGCACTGGTTTTTCGAAGGTTGGATAATGCTATCCATTGGATAAAACCCTATCCAATGAATAATGCTTTACGTTTTGCTATCACTTATCCCCTGGATAGTGATTTTTCTATTGGATAGCATTATCCACCCTTTATACAACTGGGCCCAGTTGTTTTATGCTTCTATCCTTCCTAAAAGGATAATGGTCCGCTCAGCCCACAATCTTGTCATTGGACTGCTCTCTTGCTCAAGTCACCAAGTCAGTCTTTCAAGCAGAGATGATGTGGTACACTTTATAAGTCAACAAGTTGCTATCAAAGCCCCTGTCAAGCTGATTACAATACCTTCAGTACCAGCAGAGCTCCTCAAGATGGACAGTGTGAGTAAACCCTTTACCTCTCCAAAGTGTTTAACAAGTAACTTCTCCTTATCACATCTATAAATTATACAACAAAAAGATAATGAGAATTCTCAAACTCATCAGGTTGAAGTTTTTGTCTTGATTCAAAACAATGTTCTCAGAACTAATTCACAAGGAAATTTGTAACAGTTTGAGGGGAGGATTAACAATCAGATCTTTGGAGTGAAAGGGTTAAATTTGTATTTACAGGGTTAACTAAGGCTACACTGTCAGAGTTATAGATTGTATGACTTAATTTTATGGTAGCAAGCACTCAGAGACTTCCTTGGGGAAACCAACTTGATCATAAAGGTTAGGAATGACTGAAAAAAAATTGAAATTAATTTCTAAATTTCCAGGCATTCAACAAGCAAGCCCACAAATTTGGTGTGGTTTACATGAAGGAAGGACAGCAAACTGAGGAACAGCTTCTTGGTAATGAAACTCATAGCAAAGCATTCGATGACTTTTTGAATCTGCTGGGTGAAAGAATCAGACTGAAAGGTTTTGACAAGTACCGGGGAGGACTGGATGGCAACAATGATCTGACTGGAAAATATTCTGTGTTTACCAAGTTTTGTAATAGCGAGGTCATGTTCCATGTGTCAACTCTTCTACCATTTGAAGAATTTGACTCTCAGAAGGTATTTTGTTAAATATTTGCTAAAGGACATTTACCGTAGTTAGGCAGCCCTCTTACATGGCTTTCACTTGTAGGTTGACATTTGTCCTCAACTCTTTAAACCCTGAGAGTGACCAGCTTCTAGTTTCTCCAGACAATAATATTGCTGATTCATTCAATTGGGATCATGAGAATAAAGGAAATGATGACCAACTAAAGACGCTCTCGTTTGTTAAACACATTCTCCTTGTCAGCACCTCAGGAAATGTGGGGACAGTATGGAGGATGTCATACTGATGTTGGGTGTAAAGGGTTAATGGACACCTCCTGTAGGTTGACACCCATGTGAAGTGGATGCCTACTGTAGTTTAAAACCTTGTATTCGCGAACATCTTATACAGGAGGATGCTCCTCCCAGTAGTTGGTCCTTAGAGCCGGACACCTCCTTAGAGGGCATCTCTAGTAGATGGATGCCTTTTATGGCTGTACATCTTAACGCTTTAATTCCCAGATCAAATTTGTAATTCTCCTTACTGTCAATCATACAATTCTTATAATGTTAGTTCAGAGAATTTAGTATTGGATCAATTAGTTATCCCCAAATTGATATTTTTCTTTATTCTTATCACTTATCTGGTTGATGTTGTATTGATGTTATAAGGAGAAATTCTGTCTTGGTCACTCATGAGAGTTGAAGGATTAAGTAGACTCCTCCTTTTAGTGTACCACCTAGCAGGTGGACATGTGCATTAGGTAGGCACCTATTGATGCATGCCTCTATTTTGTGTAGGTAATAACATGATTTCAAGTGGAATTTGGTGTTATTAGGCAGGGATAAATTTTCAAAGACAACAAAATTGCATGAGCCCACCATACAAGTTCAATTTTTAGTCTTTGAAAATTTGCAAGTGCCTATTACGCCAAATTGCAAGAGATATCATTTTGTTACTTGTTATAATGTACATGAAAAAACATCAGAAAGAGTAAAGAAAGGCAAAATTTCAAAAGCGTATGTGTGCTATCTGTAATTTGCACTCGTGTTAAAGTTTGCATGTGTGTTGCATAAGAATGCACTTATTTTCAGCCAATCAGAAGTGCATAATTTTTTCATGTGCATTATTAACCTTGTTATCTGGAGTGTTAAGAATTTTGGCAGTAATTATAATGGCACTCAGCTTTGTTGACATACTGATTGCTTTGTTTTTACAGCTTCAGAGAAAGAGGCACATTGGAAATGACATAGTTTGCATCATCTTCATGGAAGCAACAAGTACCAAGTTTGTACCTGACTGCATTAAATCAAACTTTCTGCATACTTTTATTATTGTTCAAGTGGACGTAGAAAACAATCCAGACAGTTACACAGTGAGTGGCATTGTGCTCTATTCCACAAGTTGCATTGCCTCTTTAAGATATGGGACTGAGTATCAGTTGAATCATATGTATACACTTGTGCTTATTCTGTTACAGGTATCAGTGGTGTCAAGGAGCGGTGTGTTACCATATGGCCCACCTCTTTGTGACAAGTATATATTTGATAAGGTATTCTTACTTTTTTAATTAATTTCTAATTTATTTCTCGACATTTAGACCACTCCTGTTAAGTAATGACCCTTGCAGGTTGTTGGGAAAATGTGAGTAAAGTTTGGTAATCAAGACTCAAAAGCAAGTCAGTGGCAGCTTTTCAAGTCTTCTCATAACCCTGTAACTCCCAAGATCTAATTTCTAACTCTCCTTTCTAGCTGCTACACATTTCCTTGTAATTGAATCACGAGAATTTGGTGTTAGATCATGAGTACTAATTTCTACCTGATATGTTTGAGTATTCTCATTACATGTTGGCTGGATAATGTGTGGATGTTATAGGGAGAAATTACACTTTAATCACTTATAGGAGTTAAAGGGTTAACTACCCAAATACTTTTTTCCATTGGTAAACCAGTGGTCTATTGGCTTAAAAGTAACCACTGGTATACCTTTCTAACAAATGATAGATTTTTGACAAATCAGAGTCCATGTGATATCTTTATCCTACAGTTATATAAAGTGTTCAAATTTATTTGAATTAGAAAAAATAAAGGTCTCTCATTGGCTAATGAAAGGGAATTAGCAGGCTTTATCCAGCCTTCAAAGTCAACATGAAAATTCTTGTGAAGTCTCTATAAATCTTCTTAAAGCAGTAGGTTAAAGAATTTGTTGTAGAGCAATAACTCTTTGGTTATAAGTTCCATTATTCTGATCATCTCTATTGACAATAATGTGCCTCTCAAGCGAGGAGAACATTTATGTTGATCACCTTTAAAGTTTGAGAGGTCAAGAGCTGTGCATGCAAATGTATTTTAACAAGACTGATAGACTTCTGACAACATTCCCACTTCAGAAAAGTTGTGTGGGTCATTTGATTGTGCTTTTCCTTTTGACCATTGTTGGATTGCAGGGAGATGAGTTTAGAGTATGGATCCTTAAAAAGTTATTTCAAGGAGAACAAGCATGTCACAGGTCACCCAGCTTTGCTAAGTTACATGTGAGTGCAACACTATGCTTAAAGTTCCTAATGTTGGTGTAATGTTATTTGATGGATTTAAAGCAACAGGCCTTACAGACGAGAAATAGTCTGGTTACCAACTTTTAATGGGAGAATTTGACAAATGATGTATTCAGTAATTATACTTGCATTCTCTCACAAGTCTTGGAAATTCTACCCTATGTATATAAGTATAACAAAACTTGAAGGAAATCTGGAAGCCATTCATGTGAATAAAAACTTCAGATAAGAATGGATGAGAGGGGATCACCTTTCCTTGCAGGGCTTCTTTTTTTTTTTTTTTTTTTTTTTTTGGGAGTGAGGGGGGGGGGTTTCATCTCCTCTATAGATGTCAGGGCAAGGTTGTTCAACGCTGGGTTAATACAACCTAGAAGAAGTGTTAAATCTGATTTCAGATCTGAAAGCTTTAAAAGAAAATTCAATACAATTCATTTGTTGAGATTATGATTACTGGATTTTCTACAAACAATTGAGAACATTATCCTGAAAGGCTTTTAAATAAAGGAATAAAGAAACCCAGATTAAAATTCAACCTTGGGTTAGCGCTAATCTGCATTTGAACAACTGGCCTCAGGTCATTTCTTTCTTGTTGCTTGGTCATGTTGTGCTTGCACATCAAGTTGCAGCACTTGGACATCTTATGCACCTTGCCCACAATACTCTACCATTGATTAGTTTATGGAGATTATCAGCCTAGCATCAATCAAGTTGGTGTTGTTGTCCTTACAGGCGCGGACCAGAGCACTCATCATGGGAGAACTACTGAAGTCTGTCAGAAATTCGCAATCTCAAACCTCAGCTATACCTAGGGCATCACCTGATCAGTACATGACTGTGGCACAGGTGTCCAGGGATTTCAGTTCAGTTTGCTCTGTCACACAAGATGGAGGGGACCTTGTGGTATTCCTAGTAGGTAATGAATGTGTAGTAGGAGGTGGGGTGTGTAGCGGGTGTAGAGGAAACAGGGGGGGGGTATTTTTGACAATTTTGAATGGGTAGAGCATCATGGATCTTTGTACTCTCAATCTTTTTCAAACCAAAGCATTTGGTTTCTCCACCCAATTTCAGGCAGAATTCATGTTTCTTATGGTAAAGACATTCTCAGTCCTACCCCAAGCCTTCAACCCCCTCTTCCCAGGTTGGGATTATCAGGGTAACAAAATTAAAATCTCCTCTGCTTAAGTATTTTTTAACCCTTTAACTCCCAAGATCTCATCAGTAATTATCCTTACTGTCTGTCATACAGTTATTGTGATGTTAGTTTGGAGAATTTGGTATTGGATCAACTTATAATCCCCTTACTGATATTTTCTTATATTCTCATCACTTGTCTGTTTGATATTGTATTGACATTGTGAGGAGAAATTCTGTCTTAGTCACTTATGGGAGTTAAAGGGTTAAGTTAAAGTGGCACTTCAAGCTTGATTTTGTTTTAATTATCATTTATTCTGATGAGTTTTCTTGTATTCCAAGCATTTTCTAAGCCCATAGACCCTAATATCAGAGTGTTCTTCATACTGTTCTCTATACATTTCCTAAAGTGCTCACAAGGGGAGTTCGTGTCACAATCAAGAGATTCTTTATTTGGTGATCATTTCCTTTATTCTCATGACCTTAATATGTGATTCGTGGATGATATTGTAAGGAGATATTAGACGTTAGGGGTCAAATGGTTTAGTTATGAATTTTGTAACAAATTTATTGCTTCTCAACAGAAGAGGCAGACAAGAAAAGTTACATTGGTGTGAAGTCAATTATGTCAGCTAAGAGCAAGTGAGTCAGGAGTGGGCATCGCTTCCCTTGCCTAGAACAAGTCTTGAATGAGTTAGAGACTTCCCCATTCCATGCAGGTTATTTCACTCTAGGTTTCTCGCAGTTCAAAGCTCATAGTTAAGGGTGAATAAGAAACGGCTGGAAGCAAGGGAAAAGCCGGAAATGAGGGACAAGGAGAATTGAGAGTTTTTTTTATTTTTCTCGCAATATAATGTCCGTTGTGCTCAGGTGTAAGTTAAGTCTTCATGATGGAGCAACCTTCAATTTAGTTTCGAAAGTAATCCATGATTGCTTTGGTTTTGCTTTTCTTTGCGCTGTGATTGGTCCAAAAACTCGCGCCACTCTCTCAACCATTACTTTGATTTTGGTTTTTTGAAACTTTGAAACGGAAATTGCTCTAGTCTATTTCAATTGCAAATGAAACCGCTTGTTATCTTCTTTTCCTCCAGAGTTTTTCTAAAGATGTTTTCACAAGAGCTCGGTCATATTTATGCTCATCTGCCAGTGAGCAGGGCAGGCTCGTTTACGGCGCCACCTGAACTGAGGCGCACGACCTCCTCCAAGACCCGCTACTCAGGATTGCGTAGCGGGAAGATGAACCTGGAGAAATTGCGACGCAGTCGAAGCGAAAGCGACAGCAGCCATGACGAGGGAGTCACCCTAGAATCAGTGACAGATCTTCAAAGCAGAAAAGATCCTGAGCGTTCGATGGCTTCGTCTAAAATGCAGTGCAGTGCAGAGGTACAATGATACCGCTGGCCTACATTAAACCGTTGATAAAGTGTGGAAATGAATAAGTATCAGCAGAGTTTTTGAATGGATTGTGTTTGTTTCCTCTTCTACAGGTTATCGTCGTGAAGCAGTTTGAAAGTGGCGTGTTTGAAGCCCTGCTGGAGTTTCTTCATGTGGGATCATGTGACCTAAGACCCAGTCTCCTGCCAGGCTTGTTTGCAGCTGCGCAATATTATCAGGTGGAGGAATTACGTCAAGTCTGCGTCGAGAGCATGAAACAAAGAGGAATATCACCAAGCTGCAGTGTGAGTTCTTTGTCTCAAATTAGGAAGTTATGCCCACAGAATTTTTGTGACCAGGGAGACGTAATACACCCTCACGAGTGACCAGAATCTAATTTCTCTTTACACTGATTCTACGCAGTCAAACATGAAGGTGATGAGAATAAAGGACGTGATGCCCAACCAAAGAAGCTTTGATTGATGACATATCTTAATTAAAAAATTTCCAGATTAAAAATTCTCTGAGTGAGAGCATTTGAGAGTATTGTTATCTAGAATGCTAACGGAAAAAATTGTGTGTTCTAATTTGTTTTTTAAAGATGTAATGAATTTCGTTTTCCAGGAGCATTCACTGACGGATTTGGTGTCAAACAACCTTACTAGTCCTACAGTAGGGAGAAATGTACAGACGGAATGTGTCAGTGATACACACTGCTAGAAATCTTTCCGAAAAACAGAGGATGATAAATATAAAGAAAAGTTGTGAGGTTTAGATTCCAAGAGTTGAATGGTTGAATTTTACCCGTCTTCAGTCGACTTTTGTAGCGTGGTAGTAGCGTGGTAGAGATTAGAACGAGCCAGCTCCAGGGGACGACGGGAACGTAAGAGTTAAACGAGGACTTCCCTTGTTCCTCTTCCTATCTGTCCCCGCGCGGATTCCTGTAGAGACAGCAGACTGGGACGAGTCAGCTTCAATTTCATCTGCATTTTAAGTTAGGGTGAACTTTGTTGATTTTGAAGAACCAGTCGTGGTTTGTATTCGATGAAGATTATCATTAGTGGATGTGTACATTGTTGTAGTCAAGGTAATGGCATACCTTTAACTTCGTCAGCCTACAGCCAATCATATTTTAGCCATGTAATTTAGTATTATCAACTGTGTTGATAACGTTAATTGGCCACCACCGTAAAGAGTTTCAAAGCTGACGTTTCGAGCGTTAGCCCTTCGCCAATCGCTCTGACGCAGGGATAACGCTCGAAACATCAGCCTTTAAACTCTTTACGGTGGCCAATTTACGTTAGCAACTCAGTTGATAATACTAAATTACCCTGTTGTACTCTCCCACCGACGCAGCACAACAGTTTCCTCAGAAACTTACCCACGTTTTAGCCATGATCTGGTCCTTCTATCTGTTCATCACAGACAGACACGCTGGCCATACATTTGCCGGAAACCATTTTATTCCACAGTCATCGCAGTAGAATAATTACATTTATGGCAACGGGAGACGTTTTGGAAAAAGAGAATAAAATCATCACTTGTCTTGTTTATAGTCATGGTCCATTTTAAGTACTCACCGAGGACAATTGAACATTTTCTTCGTAAGACGAAAAAGAAAAGTTGTTATTCTTGGGTATAAGTCGTTGTGCAACATTTACTGAGGAGTGGAAAAACTAATATTTTCCCCACGGGATTAAAATCTTCCAAGACAGAGGAGCATGGAGTAATGTTCTGCCTTGGCCAAAAGACTTGGATTTTAGAACATTTTAGGACAAAATTCTTAGAGCCTTAATGTGGTTTAATGGAATATAATGTGTGCAAAGTCTTATAAGCCTGTAGAAATTACTTCTAACTTGCGCTAGCACTACGTTCGCATAGTAGTTTCTTCCACGTAAGTACTTGTAGTTTGTCCAATTTATTAAGAGGAAATATGTATTAAGACCACTTTATATTTATTACAAAAATGTGGCTAAATTTGCATATATATATATATATATATATGTAATAAATTACAAAAAAATCAAATCACAGAGTTTTATCAGTTTTTTTACCCTTTATTATGAGTGCTTTGAAAGTCCTTTTGTGAGATTGCATCGAGTGCCCAAAACAACGCAGACTATGCCTTTCACATACTGGTCACACGATTCACCCAATGAGCCTTTCTTTTGAACGCCGTTTCCAATGAAAATGATGAATTTAAGGTTAACAGTCATAGACAGCAAATCTTGCTTTACGAAGTTAAGGTAAGCAGAGAAAGGGGCTTTCTCGAATATCGAAAATATATTTGACATTCCATTTAGATTATAGTATATACGCTATATAGTGATTATAAACTGTTTATAACCTCTTAATATACGCTAGACTACAGGTAATTCCTCTCTTTGGGGAAAGTCCGCGGCGCAAGTTAAAAAAAACTCGGCGAAAGAAAAGTTGATCGATAATGTTACAACGCCCCGCGAAACTTAGGGAGTGGGTCGTGCGAAGGACTTCGCCGGAAAGAGCCAATGCTCGAAGGCTATACATACGCAGTAGCAGTGTTGTGGTAGTACTGGGAATAATGGGGGAAATGCGAAGCGTAGGCCTCTCGCAAGTTGTATCACAAGAATTGCAGCTCCGAAGACAACATGAAAATTCATGTGAGTACGTACGTCTCCTTACCTTCTCGAAACCTTTTAGAGGTAGCCTGGGATCGAAGTTGAATCGTTGATGAAGTTCTGATGCATTCTGGGAGTAGCTTTTAATCTTGAAACGAAACTTTGAAGAAATAATACGTCACGATATGTTAGATCTTTTCACTATTTTTTCTAAAGGAGGCATCGTTCTTTGGTGTTTTCAAGGAACATGCCAATCCTTTACACTTCCAGTCAATGAACTCATTCGCAGTGTTATTTTACAGGTGAGTCTTTAACCAGGAATTTTGCCTTTTCACCGGCTTGTTGATTTCCTATAATGGTGTACGTAGCTTTAAGTTGATGCTCTACGAAACGGGAAATATATTTTACCGCTCACTTAGCAGACGGTTCAAATGATTTTCGTAGATATCTGACCACGGTATCAAGTCAGAAATATTTTTGGATGCTTCATGGCCGGGTGTTATTTGAAAGGGAAAGACAAATTTGTATTTTTGATCTTTTTTAGGAACGTGGAGGGAGCAATTCATTCACCCACGGCTCTCTAACGCTGAAATATAAACTCGACAATGAGTTTGAATTGGTGTTTGTTGTAAGTAGATGCATGATTCGTAAATTTAAAAGTTAGTCCAGTTAGTCTGAAATCTTACAGTGTGAGTGAACATCATGAACACAAACCAGAGTTGTTAAGCAGGAATTTCCTTTTATAATTATGATAAGCTGAATTATACTCCTGGATGATGTCACCATTAAAAACATTTTGCTTTTTTCGGTCACATAAAACAAATATATTTAATGTTGCCATGGGTCTGTACAGTAATAGATTTCAGAAGACCTCAAAATGTGGTACGAATATCAGTGATGCACTCGCCTGTGTCTCATGTGCCTCTTTTTTGTTCTTACCATATTTCAAAGTCATCTGCGATCTATTACTAAACAGAGGCATAGCAACTTAAAATCTATTTGTGAAGTAGAAGGGTAAATTTTTTTTTTAGTTCTTCTTTTGTTCAATTTTTGTGACAAGGAAAGGGGCTTAGTTTAGTTGAGCAACATTGAAAGACAAAACTGCTGCAAGATGTAATTTCTGACAGTTGAGTGACATGGGAATGAATTAGTGGAAGAGGTTCATGTGGCATCATGGAAGTTTTGGATTATTTAGGTGTTTTGTGGGAAAATTAAGTCATTCTAGGTCGGTCAGTCTTATGTTAGACTACTTTCTTTTTTTTCGTATTGATGTAATTTTTGTTTCCAAATCCCTGTAAAATATCGCCACATTCATTGAGCTTTCTTTGTGATTAGCATTGTAACCAGGTTAGTTTACCCATTCCTCAGGGTATTGTACTGCTGCATTAGATGAGGAATACGTTAGCCTCTTGTAAAGAGTGGCTTTTTAGTGGTTTTTTGTATTTGGCTTAGCACAGGTTCTTTTTGTAGAACCCTTAGTTTTCAGGGTACACATGTTAAGGCCATATTAGGATGCATATACTACAAGACTGGCTGACTCATCCTAATTAAAATTTCACATTGAATAACTCATCTGAGTGTCGTCAGAATTGATCATTTCTGTACGTGGGAAGCCACTTTGTAAGAGGTCTTTGGGACCTCACTGTTCCCCTACATGACCTGTAATTAGTTGTAATGAAATGAGAGTCTCACATGAGATGAGTCAGCTTCTCATATCTTTACCAGAAAACTATAATGTAACAGGAAAAATAGTATGTAGATTTTTACTCATGACTAATTTCAATCCATCTCCTCTATTGTCAGGTTGCGTTTCAGAAGACGTTACAGCTGTCATATGTGGACAAACTACTAAATGACATCCAGCTAGAGTTTAGGGATAAATACAAAGATGATCTTGAGGCAGGAATTATGAGGAATTATGAGTTCAATGAAGATTTCAACAGATTGCTCAAAGAAGCAGAATTAAGGAGCAAGTTAGATGCCCAAGCTCCTGCAAAAATGAGAACCTTTGAAGAATCAAAGAAGTCACAGAAGACGGTGGCTTCACTCAAGATTGACAAGAATGAGAAGAATAAAGAAAGTGGCAAATCTGGAAAGAAAGGTGGAGCTAAGAACAAAAAGGCAGAGGTCATGGAAGAAGGTAAGAGCATGTTTCATTCACTACTGAATTTTTGCTATTATGATAACATAGATACAACCTTTCTGAGTTTAAGCAAATGTGAGTATATGAAAGTCAAATAAGGCCTGAAAAAAAATTCCGTACAGGCCTGAATTTTTTTTCAGGTCTCATTTTCACTACTGCTCTAGTAGTGTTCATTACTGCGAAGATCTCTTTCATATTCACGTTTTATCCGCAGTTCAAATATATGACTTTCATATACTCACATTTGCTCTTTCTTTCTTTGCTCTCCCTGATAAAGAAAGAATCTCAGAGGGTCCCTTACATAGATCAACAAATCTCCCAGGTAAACAAGACCTTTTGAAGAAATTCAACAGAAGTGATTAACATGTCACTTCTCCATATGATATCCATATGTTATTTAGCAAAGACCTTAACAGTATGTATCACTAAACTTAAATGATAGTCTTTTGAATAGTTTTTGCTAACAGTGTTGTAAATTAATTCAAACAGTTGATTCAAAACCATCCAATGGAAAGACACCCTCAGTTGAAGGCAAAAATGATACCACAAATGAGGAAATGATCAGATTAAATCGGGAAAAATTCTTTAAGAAGATGACAAAGGGTCCAACAATCAGGTTTGAACCTTATTTCTGACTGTAAATATATGCAAATCATATATGTGACCTGCAGTTTAAGAAGAAGATTTGTGGTGTACTGTGAAGATTGCTTTCAAGTTTGAACCTTCTTTCTGTTAATTTGCATTAGCACAAACCATTTAAGCCTTTGTACCATAGCAAACAGCATTCAGATTCTCTATAATGTTCTCTCTCCATTTCCTATGGTACTGACAAGGAAAACTTGTTTACCAATCAAGAGCCTCTTAATTCAGTGTTCATTTCCTTCATTCTTGTAACCTTTAATTAATGATTTAAGGGTGATATTGTGCAGAAAAATTAGATGCTAGTCACTCTGAGGGGTTAAAGGATTGATGGTTTTATGAACAGACTTTGGTACTTTTGGTTCCAAAATCTGTAGTTTCTTGTCCAGTACATTCAATCAAATCAGCAAACAAGAAAACTACATTATAGCTACCCCATAATGTATGGTTAAAAAATTGAGCACAATACAATTTCCAAATGTAATGTAACTGAACTGAGGGGACTGTGGTCTCTATAACCAGCTTTCAATCACTTGCCTGAAATGCATACTCTATTTCAAACCAAACTGCAGAATGCCACTTGGCAAATTATGTTTTCCCTTCCACCTCCCATTGCAAATTTAGTCCATGTTCCACAAAGAAGGAGCACAACTTGTAAGAGAAAATCATTATCATGGAGTTTTTCTCTTGGAGTGGTATGGCACTGATCTCAGGGACTTTGCACCTCTGTTTACAGTATTCTACCTTATTGTAAGCACAACAGATAAAAGAGATTTTCAAATGGTAGAGAAATCCTTTTACCTGTTGAATTTTCAAGAATTTTAAGCGGTTTTAGGCAGTAATAAAAGGTATAATAGTTGGTAAATTTTACTGGTTACCACCTCAAAAGGAGGAAACTGTGTTTGTTTCAAAGTTTAGCTGTCTTCATGCCATTATGTCCAGAAATGCACGCAGTAACAAAAATGGCAGATTTGACACAATTTTGTCAAACCACGTGAATGTTCATGGATTTGAAGATTTTGGCAAATTCTGCTTTGTCAATATTTTAGCAATAAGTCAGGTTGTTGGTGGTGTATAGGTCAAGTTGTAGTTTTCTGATAAGGTTTTGTCCTGACTCTTAAGAGCTATTCAGAGGAGAAGGAATAAGTCAGATCTTTAGGTGCAAGGGACACATACTTAAGCTATGCTGCTGTTTACAGTAAGAGTTCACCAACAGCTACAGCCAAGAAAAAAAACAAGAAGGAGGACAGAAGGTGGGACAATGCTGGAACTTCACAGGAAGGAAAGACCTTGGACTACAGCAACAGTAATGGCAGCCACACTAATGGAAATGATGAAGAAGAAGACCTTGAGAGTCTGGTGAGACAATGAGAAATTCTATTTGGACATTCAGTGCAGTCATTTAGAACTTTGATCTAATGATTTATTACCCCCGTTGATGATGATCATCATCATGATGCTTTATGTGTGCACACAAACAACCGTCTCTGCACTTATTTTCCTGCTAACATATTGAAAGGATTTTTCTGTCATTACTGAAAGATTGTTGGGAAAAGAACAAGTAGCTCAGCAGAGGCAAAATAACTAAACCAAGTTTTTGTTCTATTTATAAATGTGCTGAGGACAAATTTTTTGTACAAGTCAGGAAAGAATTGGGTAACTTTGGATCCAATGGTCAGGTTTGAGCTCTAGCCTGGTCACTTGTGTTTTATTCTTAGGAATACGGACAATTTCCTTCACAATGCCTCTTTCACTAAAGGAGTATAAAAAAGTGCTAGCAAAGTGGGAGGTGACCCTGCAGAGGAGTGGCAACCGGTCTAGGGGGGAGTATCTACACCCCCAGGTGCCCTCCAGTTCTCAAGTTTAGTTAACCTTTTTTCACTGTATCTTGTAGCGACCCATGGTTGGAACAATGCAGGGTGAGATAAAACCAATGGAATATGAGTCTGAGTCAGACGAGGAGGAGGAAGAAGTCAGTAAGCCTGCTGAAGAGAGGTGTGCAAAAAAGTGTTGCTCTTTTCCTTTGACATACATTTTAATGTGTAATTTTATGCCTCTAATATCTGTTTTACTTTATATGAAACACTAGCCATCTTGTAATGTTTGGTATTGTTTGAATGGTATTCCAGATCTGTCATTATAAGACAAAAGGAAAAAATACAAAATTACTGCTTTTTGTTTCTTTTGTGTGGCAGTATTTTGTCCCCTTCAATAAAGGTATAGAATGAAAAATAGTAATGATTACTTTTTGGTTTAGTCATAATCATGTGGAAGGGCAGAGGTAATTATACTCTTCGGCACCATGTTTAAATTAATCTAACTGAGAAACAGGCCAAAAAAATAAGAAGAAAAAGAAACTCAATCTCACACTGCACATAGTTTTTTTCCCTTTGATTCCTCTTCTTACAAATGTTACTCTACAGACTTACAATTACAGAACAAGAACAGCTTTTTTTTCAATAATATCACGGCTATTAATCAGAATTTTGGAATTGTCTCATCTGTGATGGGTTAACTTATTAATTTCTATTACAGCAAGTCCTCTGGTCTTGGTGGAGGACTCTTCTCTTTCTTCAAAGGCTTGGCTGGGCAAAAGACACTTACTCTTGATGACATCAATCCTGTTTTGGACAAGATGAAAGAGCATCTAATTGGTAATGACTTGTTTATCAACAAAATGATTTCCTTTTAGTCCAAAATGAAGGAGCATGAAATATTTTCTTTGAGATAGATTTACCAAGCATGTGTATATTTTTGTGGTATTAGAGGGAACCAGCACCAGCCTTAGCCCTTTACACCCTAACGTCAGTATGCATATTCTCCATACTGTTCTGTATACATCTCCTAAGGTGCTGACAAGGAGAATTTGTTGAACAATCAAGACCTTTTTTAGTTGGTGATTATTTCCTTTGTTCTCCTGATCTACATGTGTGATTCAGGGGTGGTATTTTAGGGAGAAATTAGATGCTCTTCACTCTCAGGTTAAAATTCCATCTGTTTGTCTTGCCTTCACGCTCACAGCCAAGAATGTCGCAGCTGATATTTCTGAGAAGTTATGTGATTCAGTGGCTACCAAACTGGAAGGCAAAGTGCTGGGAACATTCAGTGGTAAGAGCGTGTATTGATAACATTCACCCTAGCTTTTCTAAGAGACAAAATGTAAGTTAAGCTTCAAAACTCAAGGGGAGGAAGCAACTAGCGGTATATCTGTTTCTTCATAATGGGATGTCACTCCTTAGTAAATTCCGCCCCCCTTCCCCCTCTCAGTACTTGCCAATACTTGCCAGTACTTGTGAGTTTTCTTGTAATACTTCACCAGGACCTAATTCAATACAATGTTAATTATTTTAAGCACCCGCTTTGTAGTTCGGAAAAGTTAAAAGGTGCCAAGTCTATGAAGACGAACATGAAATTTCTGTCCGCTGAAGTGTGGAACAGTTTTACCTCAGTTGATATGTTTGTTACTTATCATGTTACATTCTCTCTTGAAAGGCGTAACATCGACAGTGAAAGCAAGCTTGGAAGAATCTTTGGTCCAGATTTTGTCGCCACGAAGAAGAATTGACATCCTGCGTGATGCAATGGATGCTAAGAAACGTGGAAAACCTTTTTCTATCACCTTCTGTGGTGTAAATGGTGTTGGAAAATCAACCAATTTGGCCAAGGTAAAACATGGTGCACATTGTGAAGAAACGTGTCCTATATCCTTGTCAAGTGGTTGGAAAAGACTTGAAATCCAACTAAGTACTTTTCATGCAAAAGAAAAAAAACAGTTTGGGCTTCGACGGGATTCCAACTCCCAGATAGCAACTAAGCGTTACTACCAACAGAGCTACGAAGCCCTTTGCCGTGAGCGAGGGAAATTTTAGTAGGTTTTTCGTTTTCGTAAAGGAATCTCTACCTCCCACGCTCCTGACGAGACGAAAAAGACGTCTTTGTCTAGTTTATTGCCGAGCGAAAAATTCACCATCGTTCTTATTCCGTTTACGTGCATAACGCTTTCGACACTGTTGACCCTTGCAGTTTTCAGGACGCGTTTCACAAAGAAACGTAGTGATGGCCTGGCTCACCGTAAAGTCTCCTCCTCAGTGGTAGAGCATCGAAGCGCGAAACTCTAAGGTCTAAGGTTCGATTCTTCTCGAGGATTCAGAGCTAGATTCCTTTGTTGCACGCACGCGACAAGAAGAAAAAACATCTCTCGTTAAAAGAAATGTTCAAAACTTCTTTGAAATTTGACGGACGCAAATGTTTATAGAGAAAAATATTAAAATGTTTTCCAACCCGCCATTTGCGAAAAAGCGCTATTGTGGAGGATGGGGGGAAAAACAAACCGCTAAACGCAGCCTTTTTTTCTTTCTTTTTTTCAATTTGTGTTTGCAGATCTGCTTTTGGCTGCTTGACAATGGTTTCCGTGTGATGATTGCTGCATGTGACACATTCCGTGCTGGAGCCGTCGAGCAGCTCAGGACTCATGTCCGTCACCTTAACGCTCTTCATCCCCCAGCAAGTGGCGGTGGACCTCCATCTGTTCTGCTGTATGAGAAAGGCTACGGTAAAGATGCTGCTTCTATTGCCATGGACGCCATCAATTTTGGTAAGCTTGACTCAATAGTTGTAGGCGCTCGCATAATAAATTTTTAAGTCTTGTCTTTATTCTGTTATGGAATAAGTTGGGAAACGTTTTTTTTATGCAGTTGGAATATGACGGTAGTTTGACATGTAGTTGTTATTGAGGTAATTATTAACGTGTCGAAAGATCCATCGCCACGTCTCACTCTGTACGCTCTGCATGCTTATGACATACGTAGACTGATGAACCATAGTCGTTTGTTACTCCTTAGTAGTGGACCTCATCGGTTCGTTAGGAGTAGCAGCACATAGCGAATATGTTGCGTGGTATCTCCAAAGTGACGTTGGTCTGGCTTCACTGTGTACTGTGATTGGTCAAAAAAAAAAAAAGGCGCCAAACCCATCAAGCAATCAGACACAAAACTAAAACCGTTCTTGACTTCTTCACTTTCGTTTTCCCGCGCCTTACGCAGTTTGCTTTTTGTTTTTTTTGAGTTCTCATTGGCTCTTGTGAAATTTCCTTTTATGCTGATTGACATTGATATCTGTTCGTACTTCAGCCAGGGAACAACGCATTGATGTTGTATTGGTTGACACCGCCGGAAGAATGCAGGACAACGAGCCTTTGATGCGAGCCTTGTCTAAAGTACGCAACGTTTGTCCTTGTTTTTTTTCTTCCTTGTTTGCTTTTCTATTTAATGGACAACGGATAAATGACAGCAAATGTAGGAAGAGTGAAGTAATTTTGCACAAGTATGTCGTCCAGAATGATACACTATCAAAAGATAAGGTGGGGGAACCATGGGTGTATCTGGCCCTTCACTTCGTCTAGAGAGGAGCCATAAATTTTAAAAATGATGATAACTTTACATTTCTGCGGATACTATGATCCTGGACTGATTTTTTTTCGCTACCTTTTCATATTGTATTTCCGTGTGCTTGTGCATGGCCATAAAACCTTTTCACGCCCAGCAGACCCCGAACGATTTCACTTCCTCATAATTACCCGCTAGCCTTTCATAGTTTGGGGTGTTAGTACTGTTGTAAAACTCCTTATAGACGGTTACGATAATAACTTGAAACGCGCCTTAGAATTGTTTACTTCAAGAAGTGCTGCTTGACAGTTTGGTGACCAAGAACAATTTGAGATATATAAATATATATATTTTTGTTTTTGTTGTTGTTTCAGTTGATCAAACTCAACTGTCCCGACCTGGTGCTGTTTGTCGGAGAGGCCCTGGTAGGGAATGAAGCCGTAGACCAGTTAAAGAAGTTTAACCAGGCTCTGGCGGATTTTTCAATGTCTGATAACCCCCGTCTGATCGATGGTATTGTCCTCACCAAGTTTGACACTATCGATGATAAGGTATTTTGACATGCTACAGAGAAATTTTCAATTAAAAGCTAAATTAATTAATTTTGCTTTGTTTTGGTCTGTGATTGGTGTCGAAAACCAAAATCATAAGCATTTTCCCGCGCGTCAGGCACTCTGGTTGTTTTTAGTGTTAGCTCCTTTCGATTTAAGCTTCCTTTCCAGTCGCTGTATAGGAAATGAGTCCGCACTCCTTCTCCGCAGAGAGAGGGATGGAACACTGAATTCGAGAAAACGACAAAAATCCAGACCACTGGTGAAATTTTATTTTGTTCTGATTGGCCTTTTAGCTTTTCTGTGACTTAAGTTTCACGTTTGTCAATCGAAATTTGATCCATAAAAACTCAAGGCAGTTTAACCACTTATCAAACCTTTTAATCTGCTAAAAGCTGCCTTTAGTAACTCACTTGACGTTTCTCGCCTCCTTTGGCGTTTAACCATCGTTACTTTTATCACTGTTGTAAGGTTGGTGCTGCTATCTCCATGACGTACACCACTGGCCAGCCGATTGTGTTCGTGGGCACTGGGCAGACTTACAGCGACTTGAAGAGCCTTAATGTAAAGGCCGTCGTTAATGCTTTGTTGAGGGCCTGAGACCTGACAACTGAGTGAAATTTTCGTCTTTTGAAGTGTAACATCTTCCTTGGTTTTAAACAAACAATCATAATAAGATTTCCAGCTTTAGACTGATAATTTAGCATTTGTTCAGTGTAAAGGAAAGAATAACCATTTAGGGTGTGACATCACCGGGAATCATAGTTTGTCTCGGGTCGGGTTTGAAAAACAGGTCAAATCAGTTATTATGATGAACCAAACAAAGCCATGTATTACTAATGTGATTGTTTTTCCACTCTCCCACTCCTGGTTCCAAAATTTTCTTCTTAGACAGAGGAGGACACCGCAAAACCTTAGGAGAAAAATTGAAAAAAAACAAAGCTGGTCAAGAAGTGAACCAAGGAAAAATGTTGCTCCCACCTTCTTTTATTCGTCAGAGAAAAAATGCAAGAATAATGTAATAATAAAATTTGAATTATAAGTCAACGTTATTGTTTTTGGCAACTCTATTAACAGTTACTTTACATTTTGATCATCACTAGCAGTTAAAGCAAAAACGGTCGCATTCACTCGATTATGATTATCGTGGTGACGTTTGGTAAGGTGGTAGAAACGTCAGTCTACCACCGACAAAGTCCTGTCAAGACTACTCTCTCCTGACGATCAGACCACACGAATCATTTCTAATTTGGTTATTATTAACGCAGGTCAGAGGAGAAAATGCTATAACTGTAGTTTTCAAAACTCCAAATCTTTGTTTGTATCTTTGTACACCAGTATGAAAGGAAAATTCAAGAACTGTTGCCAGGTATACTATATCTAGTTAAGGTTGTCGATACTTGGAAATTTAAGTACCATGATGATTTGATTTAGCTCCCTTCTTACGATAAGCGGCCCCCCTCGATACTGTTTTTATAAATAAGTGCACTTATTCGAATAAGCGCCCCTATCCCAATGAACGCCCCTACTCAGTTTCAGTAATGGCACTTTTAGGGTACATTTACATTGAGATCAACCGAGGTTCATCTTTCCTTAATTGCTCGCTTAAAGCCTCATGACAAGAACAGTGGTCTTACAGTTTCTTGAAATGAAAGATTCCGTTTCAAAATTTTGCGACGAGGGACAACAAGGTCGAGGGACAACAAGTCCGTTTTTCAGTCTTTCTGATCCTTTTCAAATAAATATCAAAGCTTTGTTTCCGTCACATTCTGCTGTTTCTCAAAAAAGGAATAAGTGTCTTGTCCCTAATAGGCATCTTGATTTCAATACGCACCCTCCCTGATATACCAATTAAAAGCCATTAAACGCCCCGGGTACAAAGTCAAATCATTACCGTACGCATTTTGTTGCGCTAACTAATCTGGACTATGTTCCAAATCGGGCTTGGAAATATGCAGTCTATGTACCTATATTCAATGTAAAAACGATCACAAGTGTGCCAGAAATCGATGGAGACTTGCAAGGAGCAGCTTAAGGTTTGGCCAATAAAACCCTCCTAGAAAGGACGTCTAAAATTGGAATATAAATATTGCCTTTCTGGCCGCCACTTCCCAATGGTCTACATGACTTCGTCTGCTTTTGACGCGCTCAGTTCAATAATACAGCCTTGAGGTTTCTCGAAAGTTTGAAATATTGCAAAAAAGGTACACTATTTTGATGCTAGTATTATTATAAATTATGATTATAGCTATGAACTTGCCGTGCAGATAATCATTTTGGACATTTTGGAAAAAGCCCTATTATCTATGAGCATTTTTTGAGCACTGAAGATTGGGATCCAGCTCTTGATCTGCTCATTTGTCGTCATCTATTTCCGAGTTGTTGACAGTCTTTGACTGCATCGTGGTCATCGGTGCCTCATCTATCTTCCTACAAGCTTTTTGACCAGCACTATTGTTTGCAGTTGTCGTGTATAGCAGTAAGGACATTCCTAGCTCCAGACACCGCATTAATGTCATGAAAATGTACCAAGGCCACGGCGAAATGAACTGCGCATGGGATGAAGCGCCGCTGATGCTGACCGCAGCGTAAAGATGCATGACGGCGATACTAAAGCCGCCTACACTGGCTGTTACACAACGTTTGAAAATAGAAAATGTCTGCGTTCCTCTGTCTAGAGTTTTCGACGAACCTTCTCGCACAGTGTGAAGCTTTTTCCAAATAAGGAAGGAAATGTATGAGTAAAAGAAGGCCAGGCTGATATATAGAAGTATGTTTATTACCTGGCAAGCCAGTATCAAGCCGCTGTAAGCTGGAATAAACGCGACAATCAACTCAGATGTGAACACGAAGATGTAGTATGGAAGAGTAACCAAAGTTATGTTTCTTGTCGTATACCAGGTTTGAAATCTGTTTTTCATCACTAAAGCATTTCGCAACACTAAGAAAATCAGCATGAATGCTGTAATCAAACAAGGCTGTCCAATTCCCCAGAGTAGACTCGTCACTTTCGCTGAGACATGCTTCTTTGAATGGTAGGCGTCAATACACAGAAAGAGACATCTTGATGAACCGAAGATGAAGATTTGACTCAGCACAACGAACGACACTTTCTTTTGTCGAGCCCCCCTATCCATTTTAAATAATTTTACCAGCGCCACAAACGCTAGTAAACTGATGACACCGAATAGAGCTCCGAGTCCATATTGATGAAATTCCCACGCGACTCCCCAAGTCTCCACAGCAATGTCCCATTCGGGCTGAGGTTCGGCCGTTGGTTCAGCTGTCGGCTCGGCCTCGGCCCCGGCCCATCCGCGGTATTCTCCTTCAGGAGTAGCTTCGGTCGTGGCCGTCCCTTTTACAGTTTCTGGTTTTGAAGTCATCTTGTTGCGAGTGGCGCTGAGTGGTAAATAAATTTTCTAACCTCTATCTGTCTATTGAATACGTTTGCGCAGTGGAAGCTGTTTGCTTTATCCTGTTACAGTGGTGGGGAAGTATAGATTGGTTTGCGTACAGGAAACGAACTCTAGAGTTCGCTCAGTCAGATGTTCAAGTCTAAAACTACTTGAAACACCCTTAAAACTCTTGCCTTTGTTGTGAATACCGACCAAATAAGACAAATACAGCTTTCTCTCGAAGCTGTGAAAAACATGGTTCCCCTTCAGATGCAGCTAATGATGTAAATAGCTTAATATGCGACAAAAAAGCGTTAACAACCAGCTGTCATAGCGATTGTTTTAGCTACACAAAAACAAGACTGTAAATTGCTCTCCTCCATAAAAACTTAAACAAAGCAACTATTGTTTAGTAAGAACAGACTCGATGAATTGAGAGCCGCACAAGAGGCTTACCCAGTTTAAAATCCAATTGGAAAATGGACTCTTGTTTATTTCAAAACCTAATTACGTTTGCTCAATTATTTATGAATCAAAAGGTTAGAGAAAATTCTCGTGTCATTAATGCTATCCCTAACCTCTATATTTACGATTTGCTATGTTGATGCTATGACGAAGTCTTCCAACTCCCGCGGACAAAACTTTTGAGACAATTAAGCTAAATTCAATCTTCCTTTCAACCAAACCTGGTATATCCTACTTTTTCTAATTCTTGTCTCCTCTTTCAGTGTTGTTTCACAAGTTGTTTTTCCTCGGAAAACATATCTTTGTTTATTTACGAGAAAAAGATGAAACAAAAAGGGCAAGAGAAGTGAGAGAAGGTTTTTTTTTAAAGTTAGGTTGTAACTGTGTCAGAGGTTTTGTCTGCGATTGCACTTTAGTTCAATTTATCGAAGCAATTCCAGAAGACGCCTTTTAGAACGGATGCTAAATGTGGTATTGTTTATCATGTCGTGAAGTATATGCTCTCACTTGAACTCGGTCAATTTAAATCCGACTAATTACTTAAGAGGGAAGCCGGAATTTTTCAACTTAGAAGAAAACCCAACATTTCCAGTGTAGCCGGTATATGTAACCATGCAAAGAAAGAACTGTCTTTTCTGTACTCATGCTGTGTTGTACAAGGTGGTACAAGGTTGTACGTTTATACTCCTTGCAAAAGAAAATTTTTTCTTTTGGGTCCTTGGTCCTTGTGTAAGACCCTAGTGCGTGGGCATTCAAATTAAAAATACCAAGCTCTATTTTCATGTGATATTGTTTATTGTTTGTGTAGGGTGCCATTAAGTTTTTTTAAAAAAAAAAAAAAAACCCTTTCACGAGACCTTTGTCGAGTCCCTTAGGCGTCATTCACTTTGCATGACAAAATACGTTGCAGAGCATGATTTATTAACAACTCTGTTCGCTTTGAATACGAAGCTCGGTTTTCCTCTCGTAAACAGCTGTAATCTCTCCTCGAAACATATGACTATGATAATAAGACTATAATATTTATTTTTTTTGGATACCACACGGAGAGAATATGTAGTGGGCTCATTCAAAGTCTGAACTCCTTTTTTTTCAGTTAACGAACTTAAGCTCCGAAACGTAACTGATGTGCTGTAGTCTACCTCTCATATTTTGTAATTGCTTCACCTAGTGTAAGTAAATATTGTTTATAGAATGTAGAATAAGCTAATTCTTGATTTAAAATTCGTAATGCAAGTAGTGAAAGCATCAAATAATTTGTAGTGTTAGCAAGTTTAAGATAAATCCTTTTGTGAGTAGTTTTCAACGTGAGTATTGATAAGTATAAATAGAAATAGGGGTAGTATTGTAAGTAACGTATGTATTAATAGTTAAGAATATACGAAAGTCATATCCGCAGTTCAAATATATGACTTATCCGCAGTTCAACGTATGTATTGTTAATATCGTAATCACCGTAAGTATTTTACGTAGTCAGCAAAGACAATTTCAGAAAAAAAATTTTTACTATGAACAGGTTTTGATTCCAAGACTCTAACTTTATCACGGTTATATCTCTTTAGTCTAAGATCGATAAATGTTTTACGAAACTCAGTATAAACAAAGGACTTTTAATAATTATCCTCAAAGGTTACAATCCCGTTAATTTTTAATTAACGCCTCTTCAAAAACAAACTAGTACTAGTGGAAATATATGTTAGGATACATACAAACATTTTGATACTTTGTCCTCATTCTGTTCTTAATGCATTTTTTTTAGTCACTTGGGGCCTCGCCAACATTACGCCCCGTGAACTTGAAAACAACTTAATTTGTACGGCTAGTTCTACTATTCACCTCAGAGTGAGAACACCGATTTGAAATTTATAGGTCGTAGTGTCGGACAGGGCCTAACGCATGTCGTGTTTTTTCGAAATGTTTCTTTCACAATTATTAAACGTGCTCCTCGTTTTTGTGCCCAAACCTCCTTGGCCTAGCAACACAACACACAAAAGAACTCAAAACAATGTTAGCGTTTCCTTCTTATTATATGAAAACCACTGTTCAATTCATTAGTGATAAATTTGAAGATGTATTTTTCTTGTTTTCCCACAAGGAAAATCTTTTGCCAATCAAACCGTTTGCAATTCAATAGCATTAACATTTTCGGGAATCTCCGCTGAAACAATCGTAGTCGGTGTCATTTCACCTTTCTTGTCGACGCTCCTCGCTCTGACGGCATAAAACAGTACAACTGTCATGTAAATCTCCACGAGACGAAACATTGTTTGAAACGCCAACCATGGCCATGCAGAAACGAAGCGCGCATCGGAAAAAACGCCATAGACGCCCGCCATTGCGTAGACTTGCATAACGCAAATTAAAACGCCGCCCGCGACCGCTGCGAGACACATGCGGAGAATTGCGCGCGTGCGGGATCCACGACCTTCCGCTGGCTCCGTAGCCCAACGTTTGGACGAGTCAATCAATTTGAATTTTTTCCAGATTAAAATCGATATGAAAAAGTAAAACACCGTAAGAGAAAAACCAAATAAAAGGTACAAAATCTGGCAAGTAAGGGTGAGGCCTTTGAACTCTGGAACGAAAGAAATAGCAAGTTCTGCTCCAAACGCGAAGAAAAAATATGGCAGCGTTGCTAAGGCAATATTCCTTGTATTATACCATTTTTGGAACCGCTGTTTGAGTATCAGTGCGTTCCTTAACACTATAAACATCAGAGTGTAGGCGGTTATGATGCAAGGCTGTCCGATGCCCCAAAGAACGTTGATAACATAATACGGTGCAGTTTTCCGCCAGTGGTATGCATCCATGCAGAGGAACAGACTTCTTGTGGCGCAAAACAGAGCCAGAAGACTCAAAACAACGCTGGGAACCTTGTTTTGTTTGAGGATTCGCACTCCTTTGAAGCGCTTCCATAGGGAAAGTACAATCAAAAAGAAAACAAAGACAAATATCGCACCTAAGCCATACTGGTGAAAATCCCAGATAATCCCCCATTCATCGACCGCCTTCGACCATTCTGGTAGAGGTTCAGCTATTCCTTCAGCTGTCGGACGATTATCGAATGATTCTGGCTCTGTTTTGGGGAATGTATTATTGATTTTCTTTTCGGGCTCTGGAATAGCACTCATCTTATTACCAAGCACTTCTATTTGAAACAGGTCTTGAAAATATGGTCACTTATCGTGAGCTCTCAGAAAATTTTGCAGCTTTGACTTTTTCCGTATTAAGTGTTTGCTTTTGAATTCCTTGTTGTATGAAATCTTATATTTTTCACTTTACCACCGAGTTTTCGTGATCATCCAGTCTTAAGCCAGACTGAGTAGCCTTGAGATATTTCCTCTTTTAGCTGCAGGCAGTTTGTGAAGAGTAAGTAGTCTTAATTTCTGCTCTGATGTCTGCTATCTAGAATCTTCGTTGAACAAAATCTGTTGCGTAACTTTACCTCCAGTCCACGCTGTCACAAAACATTCCAAGTTTAAGTATGGTAAGTACTCTTTTCTTTCAATTGAACTTGACGTTATTTGAATGACTAGAGTGTATCACGTACACGCTGTAGTAAAATGATATATGTTTGTTCCTTGCTCAAGGATATCCCCGCCTCCAGGTCTAGTTTGTGGATTAATCCGCCATCTGCTTGTCTTTTCAAAATACTCGGAATAAAGTCATTAAATGTCTAAGAGCAGACGTCTTCTCGCGAACTATCCCGTGGACTCAAATTGACTCTTTGCTGGTTGAAACTGAGAACGTTTAATCCAAACAAATGCTTTCCCGTTTACGCCAAAACTGCATGAGATAAGAAACAACCGCACATTGAGATAAAAATTAGCATAATAATAGATGACCGCCCTACATTTTCTTTTGAATCAGCTTTTAAATACGGTTTGAGATTCTGTTTACTTGCTAGAGAGAGTAATGTTCACAGTGCTAGGTTTTTAATTAAAACCAAGGTTTTGCTTGTTTTTAGCGTCACAGGTGAAGTATACACAAGGCGATTGAGCTTTCCATTGAATTCGAAATCGTTTTGACGTTACAGAAGAAAAGGTTATCTTCATTTCGGCTTTGTTTAATATATTGTGCTTCTAACATTTCTTGAATTACTATTTAAAGTGGGCTATTATCCATAAATAATGTGCTTCTATTTGAGAAAAATAATGCTAATCTTGGAACCTTACCGAAGAAATGAATAACACAATGAATAACTGCTGAGGCTATTTTTCTTCACGTTTTTGATGGAGAGCGAAATAATGTGATCAAGATTTGAACAATTAGTCGGTAAAATTCGTGGAAATATTTTAAGACCGTTGAATGCGACAGAAAAAGAGACTTATGCGATTTTTTTTTTCATATCAGGTTTACATGAATAAGTAGCAGCAAAAACTGTTATTAATATGAAAACAGCTCTTTCCAAGCCTTGCGGTGCAAACTAAGTCAATTATCGGCTTTCATTTCAGTTTCTGATGTTATGACTTCAGCCGCTTTTGGAAATTCGGTTCAAACGATATTTTGAAAAGTCACAGGTTTGCAGCCAGAAAAAATCGATTATTGTAAATAAATAACCTACCATTATTCGAAATACTCTTGTCTTTCAGCATAAAACCCCTCATTCTCCCCTAGATAATGTACACAGTTTGACTGGAAACATAATTGTCGCGTCGAATTTCCTATCACCTGCCTCTATCTCAAAACAACAAGATGGTTCGCATTTGTTCTTCTATCATATCATGTTGAGCTAATGTTAGCAGTGAAGTGAACTTAAGACAATTGTGACCTTGTATTCCCTTTGAGTAAAGCCATTTTCGCGAATCTTGAGAACTCGAGCATCTTTCTTCGCCTACCAGTGCAAACGAACCAGAATTTAAAATTTTCGCAAAGACCTTTCACTGTTGGTCGCCGCCCAGTAAGTTTGTTCCACTGGATCTTCGCTAGGCTCAACCCTTTAACTCTCAAGATCTTATTATCAATTCCCCTCTCAAGCTGTTACAGATTTCCATGTAAGTTAGTTATGAGATTTGGTCTTTGGATGAGGATAACAAAAATCTACCTTATAAGTTTGGTATTCTCGTCACCTGTTAGCTGGATAATGTAGGAATATTATGGTGAGAAGTTTCATGTTATTCTCTTCTGAGAGTTGAAGGGTTAACCTGAGATCATTCGTTCATGCAGTCTCTTAATGCAGTCTCTATTTGCAAATTTCTTCGTGACATTAGAAAACCTCGATTTTGAGTATTCAAATCGTTATTTTATAAAAATTGCGCATTATGGTTATTCTCGATTACGTAAATCATTTTTCGCTTCATAATGAAAAGGGTGTTTAACCCTTAAATCGCCGTGCTTTGTAAGTACGATCTCTACACTAAAACGTACTTTTATTTCGTGTTTTTACGGTGTGAAAATTAAAGAAAGAAAGCGGCATACACCGTTGTTACCTTAAAGAATTTAGTGCACCGCTAAATTTGAATATCGGTCCTGTACAGTCAGACTGCCGCAAATTGAGGAAGTCGAAGACCGAGCTTGTCTCCCATATCGTTGCAATCAACTGCTTTTCGACCAGACGGAAATTGCGGTGATACTTAATCGCTCCATTTAAATTGATTCTTATCAATATACTTTTCTCAGCGGTAAGACAATATGCTTCGAAAATAAACTTTCAAATATATTTACCATGAGACCTGTCGTGTTCTGTTAGCAGGTATCATTTGCCTAGAAAGCCATTTCTTTTTGTGAGATTTGACGACGCTATTTCCAAGCAAAATCTTTCATCAAACAAGGCCAGTTAATCTGGTAAAGATACTGAAATATTACCGAGCAATGAGACAAACGCTATCCTGGCTCTCAAAGAGATCACTCCCGAAAAAGGAAAGAGAAATCTTTAAAAAAAAAAAAAAAGATGCTTTCTTTTCTATTAAAAAATAATGAGTTAGACCGGAAATTATTTTTTTGTGCAATTGTAGTCAAAACATGTTGGCAAGAAAATCGTCACCAATTTTCCTTTCTTCTTCTTTTCATAATCGAGAAGTTCTATTTTTAAAAATACCAACCATGACATTCATTTTCCTTGGATATCTCGACCCCCCGCTGAAAGTCGACTTGATCATTCATTATTGTATTTAGCTTCGAATGGTAAATCGAGTCAAGTTCAGCGCTATCTCAAGTACAATTCAAATTTCACACGGATCAACGCTGTTTCAGTATGTAAGTTGAACGAAATAAGGAACTTAATTTAAACTTTTCTCATTAATTAACAATGCTTAAGCTGTTTATGGGGAGGAATCTGCAAGAAAACAATTATCATTGAAGCGGAACCTTATCTTAATGATTTAACTTAAGAGGAAAAAGGAAGAGGGTTGAAAAACTTGAACAATACTTCAAAAACATCAAAATTACATTTATTTCATATTTGACTTCACGCAAGTAATTACATCTTTCAAATTTCCTCATCCGAATTATCTTATATTTGCAATTTTTGTTAGAAGTATTGTAAAATTATTAAACTTCCCTTTAAAATCAATCAAACTTTGATTGTAATTTCGCATACAGTAATTGATTAAGATTAACAGCAGTGTTAAAAATGGTCCCATATAATGAATTCATAATGTAGGGTTTTTATTTTCATGTTTTGTTTTTGTTTTTGTTTTTTCTCATTTAATGTAGCGATTTTCCGCATGGGCTGAATTCATTTTTTAAAAAGCACTACGTTTGCGTTGATAATGAAAAGTTGTAAATCAAAATCTTGCGTTAGTTTTATTTATGTGAAGGAGTAGAACTTTCCCCGAAAGCAATACTATTCATTTGCCATATATAATTAGTTTGCACGCTTTGCAGGAGTTGCACGTTTTTCTTTCCACTTGCAGTCGTAAATGGCTTCCCTTGATGTTGCGTATTTAAGTACAACGACCTCAGTCAGGTACTCTTTATTTATTAAATCCTGAGAATTTATTCTGCTCTCTCAATTAACAATTTTGTTCATTTTAGGCACGTAAAATATTGCTCAAGGACAGGAAATTACATCCTTTACCGTATTGATCAATATTTTAGAGAAACGTTATTTTTCAAAGACTAAAGAATTGAGGCCATATCTGAACATATAAAAATTATTTACTTAACCCGCAAGGCAGCTGATCAGGCACATTTCGGCATTAACTAATTCTCATCTCACTGTGTAGTATTAAGTAAATGTTATATTAAGTTAACGGGTGAGATAATCAGCGAACCCACTTTATCGACAAGAATAGAACTTATCAAAGTTTTGTATGCCTTGCCGTCTAGATGTCTTCCAAATCCGTGATGACATGTGTTCATTTATTGCCGAGGTAAACTTGATAACCAAATACCAAAACTGGATGCAAATTTTTTTCCTTGCAATGTGAATGCACGAAAAATATTATTGCTTTATTCCACTAAAGGCAATATTTACCTACCTTAAAATTTTTGTTTTTAAAAAGAATGCATACAAGGAAGTTAATAGGTCTTTTTGAGCAAAATTCATTGCCTAGAATTTCCCATGAGTTGGTGTTTTCAAACAGTGCCACGCTAGCTCATTTGAGACCAGAAAGACTGGACCGTGAATATTCAGGTGATGCCTGGTGAGAACTGAACCACTGGCATCTCATGTCCATCTTATAATATTTGAATGCCAATTCGTTTTAGTCACGACATCATTACTGAAGAACTGAAAAAGGGAATTAATTTAAAATTGCTCCATAAAATTTCTTTGTACTGAGAACTCAATTCAGTTTACTTGGGATATATGGACTCAGCCTTACGCATAGAGAATTAAGTTAATCAATTAAGTCAGGTCTTACTTTATATTGCATTAACTAGAGGGGTTTGATTCGATTTAGAACATCGCTTAACCTTGCTTGTACAAACCGAAATAACATGACACTATTTCAGTTTCGCGGCGGTGGATCGGGAGAATATGATCACTTTAGAAATGCACTTGGTTTAAAAATAGGATCCTCCATATTATAGACGAATTTGAGCCTTTGTACTTAGTTCAAAAGATAATTGTTCTGCCAGTCTGCCTCCAAAACAACAGCAACACGGAGAAATGAAAATTTGGACGAGAAACTTCCTAGTTGTCTACCTAATCAGAAAAGACAAACTGAAGGATTTAAGTCGGTAAAAT